GTTGTGAAATATGTTGTGAATGTATTGTGATGTTTTTAAAGTTGTATAACTGCCTTAATTTTGCTGGACCCCAGGAAGAGTAGCTACTGCTTTGGCAGCAGCAAATGGGGATCCTTAATAAATAGAAATACAAATACATGTTTTTTGTCAAGTTCATGCAGTCGACATGTAGGCACAAGTCGGACAATATTTATCTGCATAATGCAACACACTTTGAAAGCCGGTCTGATGGTCACTAACTAGACAAAATGTATCTGCCCGAACGTGCCCGTTGTTTCTGGACAGGGCCATTAATTTCAGTTGTGGAAAAAGCACCCAATGGTCATACTTGAGTAAAAGTAAAGAAACCTTAATAGAAAATGACTCAAGTAATAGTTAAAGTCACCCAGTAAAATACTACTTGAGTAAAAGTCTAAAAGTATTTGGTTTTAAATATACTTAAGTATCAAAAGTAAATGTAAACGTATAAATCATTTCAAATTCCTTATGTTAAGCAAACCAGTCTGCAACATTTTCTTGTTTTAAAAATTTACGGAAAGCCAGGGCCACACTCCAACACTCAGACATAATTTACAAACGAAGCATTTGCATTTAGTGAGTTCGCCAGATTAGAGCCAGTAGGGATGACCAAGGATGTTCTCTTGATAAGTGTGTGAATTGGACCATGTTCCTGTTCTGCTAAGCATTCAAAATGTAACGAGTACTTTTCGGTGTCAGGGAAAATGTACAGTGCATTCGGAAAGTATTCAGACCTTTTGACTTTTTCCACATTTTGTTACATTACAGCCTTATTCTAATATGAATTAAATAAAATATTTTCCTCATCAATCTACACACAATACCCCATAATGACAATGCGAAAACAGGTTTTTAGATATTTTTGGAAATGTATTAAAAATAAGAAACATGAATACCTTATTTACATGTATTCAGACTGTTTGCTATGAGACTCAAAATTGAGCTCAGGTGAATCCTGTTTCCAATTAGATGTTTCTAAAACTTGATTGGAGTCCACCTGTGGTAAATTCAATTGATTGGACATTATTTAGAAAGGCACACACCTGTCTATATAAGGTCCCACAGTTGACAGTGCATGTCAGAGCAAAAACCAAGCCATGAGGTCGAAGGAATTGTCCGTAGAGATCTGAGACAGGATTGTGTCGAGGCACAGAGCTGGGGAAGGGTACCAAAAAATGTCTGCAGCATTAAAGGTCCCCAAGAACACAGTGGCCTACATCATTCTTAAATGGAAGAAGTTTGGAATCCCCAAGGCTCTTTCTAGAACTGGCTGCCCGGCCAAACTGAGCAATCGGGGGAGAAGGGCCTTGGCCAGGGAGGTGACCAAGAACCCGATGGTCACTCTGACAGAGCTCCAGAGTTCCTCTGTGGAGATGGGAGAACCTTCCAGAAGGACAACCATCTCTGCAGCACTCCACCAATCAGGCCTTTATGGTAGAGTGGCCAGATGGAAGCCACTCCTCAGTAAAAGGCACATGACAGCCCACTTGGAGTTTGCCAAAAGGCACCTAAAGGACTCTCAGACAATTCTCTGGTCTGATGAAACCAAGATTGAACTCTTTGGCCTGAATGCCAAGCGTCACGTCTGGAGGAAACCTGGCACCATCCCTACGGTGAAGCATGGTGGTGGCAGCATCATGCTGTGGGGATGTTTTTCAGCGGCAGGGACTGGGAGACTAGTCAGGATCGAGGGAAAGATGAACGGAGCCAAGTACAGAGATCCTTGATGAAAACCTGCTCCAGAGCGCTCAGGACCTCAGACTGGGCGAAGGTTCACCTTCCAACAGGACAACGACCCTAAGCACACAGCCAAGACAACGCAGGAGTAGCTTTGGGACAAGTCTCTGAATGTCCTTGAGTGGCCCATCCAGAGCCCGGACTGGAACACAATCAAACATCTCTGGAGAGACCTGAAAATAGCTGTGCATCAACGCTCCCCATCCAACCTGAAAGACCTTGAGAGGATCTGCAGAGAAGAATGGGAGAAACTCCCCAAATACAGGTGTGCCAAGCTTGTAGCGTCTTACCCAAGAAGACTTGAGGCTGTAATCACTGCCAAAGGTGCTATGCTTTGACTTCTTTCTCCCCTCTCTCTCCATATGAAATCTTGCGTCTTGTGACGGCCGGCCGCCCAACAACCTGCCCGCTTGACCCTATCCCCTTCTCTCTTCTCCAGACCATTTCCGGAGACCTTCTCCCTTACCTCACCTCGCTCATCAACTCATCCTTGACCGCTGGCCATGTCCCTTCCGTCTTCAAGAGAGCGAGAGTTGCACCCCTCCTCAAAAAACCTACACTCGATCCCTCCGATGTCAACAACTACAGACCAGTATCCCTTCTTTCTTTTCTCTCCAAAACTCTTGAGCGTGCCGTCTCTAGCCAACTCTCCTGCTATCTCTCTCTGAATGACCTTCTTGATCCAAACCAGTCAGGTTTCAAGACTGGTCATTCAACTGAGACTGCTCTTCTCTGTGTCACGGAGGCTCTCTGCACTGCTAAAGCTAACTCTCTATCCTCTGCTCTTATCCTTCTAGACCTATCTGCTGCCTTTGATACTGTGAACCATCAGATCCTCCTCTCCACCCTCTCCGAGTTGGGCATCTCCGGCGCTGCTCACTCTTGGATTGCATCCTACCTGACAGGTCGCTCCTACCAGGTGGCGTGGCGAGAATCTGTCTCCGCACCACGTGCTCTCACCACTGGTGTCCCCCAGGGCTCAGTTCTAGGCCCTCTCCTATTCTCTCTATACACCAAGTCACTTGGCTCTGTCATATCCTCACATGGTCTCTCCTATCATTGCTACGCAGACGACACAATTAATTTTCTCCTTTCCCCCTTCTGATAACCAGTTGGCGAATCGCATCTCTGCATGTCTGGCAGACATATCAGTGTGGATGTCGGATCACCACCTCAAGCTGAATCTCGGCAAGACGGAGCTGCTCTTCCTCCCGGGGAAGGACTGCCCGCTCCATGATCTCGCCATCACGGTTGACAACTCCATTGTGTCCTTCTCCCAGAGTGCAAAGAACCTTGGCGTGACCCTGGACAACACCCTGTCGTTCTCTGAGTAAAGTAAAACTTCTAAAAAATATAAATAGTAAAGTACTGTTACCCACAAAAAACGGCTTAAGTACTACTTTAAAGTATTTTACTTAAGTACTGTACACCACTGATTAATTTACAGGCTTAATTGTCTCCATAGTTCCTGAGAGGGGAAAATGTAACCATTTGTGATTCATACATTGAAATTGTATTGAAGCAGGAGGGCCAGTAGGGAGCACCCTTCCCTCCCTGTAAATAAATACAAAGATACTGTATTTCCAACTGTGAACTATAGTCAAGTAGAGGCAATACAGAGCTAATAAAGAATAAATATAAGAAGAAAATGAGTCAATACACCAGTCAAGAGATGGCAAAAGTATTTTTATTAAATAAAGAATAAATTACTATAAATAATACATGAATATATAAATAACGAATGCAATACTGAAATTACATCTCAGTGTATCAACAACTTTTAAGAAAAGTGGGTTTTAAATCAAACGATAAGAGGAAAGTCACAGCCGAAAGTTTCACTGCTGTTTTTAAGAGATGTGGAATGATTTGAGTTACGGGAGTTTTAGTGATGTATTGTTATTAGTGGTTGATTGATGTACACACCACGTTCAAAAATGGTTAATGTATTGTGAGCTGGGGATATCCTTAAATGAAAATGACAGAAGGACAAAAGGACCTGACATGCACACATAAAAACACTGTATAGAAACAAGTGTTTTTTTGTATTATTTAAATTGTTCCTTGAAAAACGTCTTCACTAAAACCACACTAAAGATATACAACTACACATTTCCAAACGTTACGACACCAAACTGAGTCACTTCTCACTCACACACACATACAAACACACACACACTGTATGATTGTATAAAACTTTTGCAGGGAAACCCCTTTTAAGATACAGTTTAGATCAAAAGTGAATTGTTCGATAAATATAGTGAAACTGAATTGTTTTTAGGCTACTTTCTGGAATACCTGTGCTCTATCGTAAATAGTGCATAATAGAACACTATCGAAGGGTGATTTCCGTAAGAAACCTTGGTAAACATTACCATGTCATAACTGATCGGTTATATTTGGAATGATCACTCTAGTAATGGAGGACTTCTTGTAAACATGCACTGGGCATGGGTCACCAGATGAAGTGGAGGGAGTGAATAGGAGGAAGTGAAGTAAACCATAGAGATAGATAGAGGACTCAAAAGAGATGTTTATCTAAGTCTATGAGTAAACCATACCCAGGCCTTTCCTGTCACAGGGTGAGAATGCGCAGGGAAGCACTGCCCTCATGTGGCAGAGAGAAGGAAGGCCGGTATAAAATATAATTGGCACATCACTTTGACATCAGCGCTTTCAGAAAAGCACACAAAAGTTATGTATGGTAAAGAACATTTCAGACTGTGATTTCTATATTTTTGTGCAATTTAAAGATAAAGTGACAAAATAGCTATATTGTAAATAAAAAAGCTCTTTGTTTGTCAATTTATATTTACGTCACAATGCTTCGGTGGAAGTTCTGAGGTACTTATGTACCAGCCCCGTCATAAAGGATTTAAGCACAAAATCAATTATTATAGTGGCAGCTACATAACATACTGTATACTTACAGGGCAAGGATGAGTGGAGCACAAGGCGAGCGGAAAAATAAAATCCATTTTTTATGAATAAAGGGAATTACCCTCGAATTTGAAGTACTTCATTTCATTCATTCCCTTCAATCCCAAAATGCTTTGAGTTGTAGTGTTTCCCCTAAGATTTGTTTTAGCAACGGTGGCAGAGTTAGCGGGGGGGGTGGAAGGGGTGGATGGGGTCATCTTTGGGTCTTCCTGCAGGGGGCGGCGGATGGGTTCTTCCTGGAGCATACATCTACACATCTACATTATAACAAAAATAACAAAAAATGTTTTGCAGTGGCAGCGACGATTATTGCGCCGCTGCTAAATGCATATAGGGGAAACACTTGGGTTGCCCTTGTTTTGGATTGCTGGATCAAAGGTGTCACTCGGATGTGAGTGTGGGTGGTTTAGGATGATGGGCGGAGGAAAGGGAGACGTAGGACGTGTTTTGGAATGAACGCTCTCCTAACATGATATTTTGAGTGACAATGAATTCCACATCTATAATGTTCTCCAAAGCATGCAGTGATGCTCATATCACAACATAGATTTGTCTATCAATATCTTTTTATCTCTCTGTTTATCTCTCTCTTTCCTTAATCCCGAGTCCTAAATTTAAAGGTTGCTCTCTTGAGTGTTGTTGGAGGAGATGGGATGCAGACCTCCGTTGTCGTTGAGTCTCCTGGCGCGGTAGGTTTCATAGTGGATGTTGTGGGTGACTTCCTTCAGGTCCTGGAGGTGAGACCTGGGAGGGAGAGTGGAGAGAGGGCAGGCATTAGCTGGTAGCTACATACAGGTGGATTTGGTCACTAAGGTCAACTTCAATGCCATTAGAAACTCATCTGTAAGTGTATTGTAAGAATAGTTAAGTATGTTGCTGGTATAAAGCATTAGTAAAATATAGATCAATGTACGATTGATTGCTTTACCTGATGAGGAAATCTCGTAGCAGTGCAAATTCGCAGTGATTGGGGTTTTCAACTGCAACAAAATACAAGAAAGAACCCATTTGTCATAAAAAATCTAAATCACATTTGCTTCACATATCCGAGCCTGGGCCCAATTACAGTATAACCTCCATAAATCCATTCCCTCTGACTCACTGAGGAGAAAGGTCAACATAATACACTTAGCATTAATATAGGACCTAATGAATTATATTGATGTTATAAATAAACCTACCTTCTACCACACCCCAGGCTGTCTTCCTCCCCAGAACCCGTTTGCCGTTCACTTGGTACTCCTTGTCGCTGCCCACCACCGCAAAGGGCATGGCCTCCTGTGAACAGACTCGTTTAAACAGGGTTCAATCGGACGAGGAAAACATAGGAGATTTATCAGGCCCGTGCAATAGACCGTCAGCAGTTATTATTCTTCAAAGGAGGGGTGTCAGAAAGATAGCTAAATTGACAAAGAACCAGAAAGATAGAATGAGATAAATAATCTGATATTCATTTGAAATTAATTTAAATATTTGAATTGCCGAATAATTTTGGGCGATAGCTATATTGCATGGTCATAACATTGAGGCATGGGAGGAAAAGAGGGTGCGGTACATATTTATCTCATGTTCACTTTATTCCACTTGAGAGGAAGAGTATTAGGGAGACATAATCAACTGAAGTGACTGTCCTTTACAGTGTGATGTAAGGTCGTGGATTTCAAAAACTGGAACGGAGGCCCTTACCCTAATCTTATCATTTTCATTCTTATCCTCCATATCATCATCAAACTCATTCTGCGGGTAGTACTCAATCCCATACGTCTCCAGCTCCTTCCTCACCTAAGGGACGAAGAGGAGGCAGAGGTTACATAACATAATGTGCACTAGAATAATGTCTTCTCTCATGACTTGGTTTTCCATAATAATTTCTACCATGACTTCTATCTAGACCAGGGATAAATACAAAAGAGCTACAAAGAGCTCTATTTTCATGTCATCCAACAAATCTAAACGCCTGGAGTTTACTCACCGGCATTGGTACTTGAATTGGAACCGGTGCTTTGGTCAGATGACATGAAAATAGAGCTCTTTGGCCACGCACAACAGTGGTGGGTTTGGCGTCGAAATGAGAATGCATAGCAGAAAAGAACCCCATACCTACTGTAAAATATGATGGTGGATCTTTGATGTTATGGGGCTATTTTGCTTCCACTGGTCCTGGGGCCCTTGTTAAGGTCAACAGCATCATTAACTTTACCCAGTACCAGGACATTTTAGCCAAAAACATCAAAATCCACAAAGAAATTGTTAATCGGCCACAAAATCAACATTTCGCAATGCCCACCTCAGTCTCCGGACTTGAAACCCTTTCAAAACCTGTGGTTTGAATTGAAGAGGGCAGTCCATAAGCGCATACAAAAGATCTCAAGGATTTGGGAGGATTCTACATGGAGGAATGGTCTAAGATCCCTCCCAATGTGTTCTCCAACTTATAAAACATTTATATATACAGTACCAGTCAAAAGTTTGGACACCTACTCATTCAAGGGTTTTTCTTTATTTTTACATTTTTTTACATTGTACAATAATAGTGAAGACATGAAAACTATGAAATAACACATATGGAATCATGTAGTAACCAGAAAAGTGTTAAACAAATCAAAATATATTTCATATTTGAGATTCTTCAAAGTATCCACCCTTTGCCTTGATGACAGCTTTGCACACGCTTGGCATTCTCTCAACCAGCTTCATGAGGTAGTCACCTGGAATGCATTTCAAATAACAGTCCATCATTACTTTAAGACATGAAGATCAGTCAATACGGAACATTTCAAGAAATGTGAAAGTTTCTTCAAGTGCAGTCGCAAAAACCATCAAGTGCTATGATGAAACTGACTCTCATGAGGACCGCCACAGGAATGGAAGACCCAGAGGTACCTCTGCTGCAGAGGATAAGTTCATTAGAGTTACCAGCCTCAGAAATTGCAGCCCAAATAAATGCTTCAGAGAGTTCAGGTCACAGACACATCTCAACATCAACTGTTCAGAGGGGACTGTGTGAATCAGGCCTTCATGGTCGAATTGCTGCAAAGAAACCACTACTAAAGGACACCAATAAGAAGACCTGCTTGGGCCAAGAAACACGAGCAATGGACATTAGACTGATGGAAATGTGTCCTTTGGTCTGGAGTCCAAATTTGAGATTTTTTGTGATTTATTGGTGATTTATTTAGAAATCAAGGCACACTTAACCAGCATGGCTACCACAGCATTCTGCAGCGATACGCCATCCCATCTGGTTTTGGGCTTAGTGGGACTATCATTTGTTTTTCAACAGGACAGTGACCCAACACACCTCCAGGCTGTGTAAGGGCTATTTTACCAAGAAGGAGAGTGATGGAGTGCTGCATCAGATGACCTGGCCTCCACAATCCCCCGACCTCAACCAAATTGAGATGGTTTGGGATGAGTCGGACGGCAGAGTGAAGGAAAAGCAGCAATCAAGTGCTCACCATATGTGGGAACTCCTTCAAGACTGTTGGAAAACCATTCCAGGTGAAGCTGGTTGAGAGAATGCCAAGAGTGTGCAAAGCTGTCCTAAAGGCAAAGGGTGGCTATTTGAAGAATCTCAAATATAAAATATATTTTGATTTGTTTAACACTTTTCTGGTTACTACATGATTCCATCTGTTTTATTTCATAGTTTTGATGTCTTCACTATTATTCTACAATGTAGAAAATAGTAAAAATAAAGAAAAACCCTTGAATGAGTAGGTGTGTCCAAACTTTTGACTGGCACTGTATATACATTACCATTCAAAAGTTTGGGGTCACTTAGAAATGTCCTTGTTCCTGAAAGAAAAGCAATTTTGTTGTCCATTAAAATAACATCTAATTGATCAGAAATACAGTGTAGATATTGTTAATGTTGTAAATGGCTATTGTAGCTGGAAACTGGTGATTTTTTTATGGAATATCTACATATGCGTACAGAGGCCCATAATCAGCAACCATCAGTCCTGTGTTCCAATGGCATGTTGTGTTTGCTAATCCAAGTTTATCATTTTAAAAGGCTAATTGATCATTAGAAAACCCTTTTGCAATTATGTTAGCACAGCTGAAAACGGTTGTACTGATTAAAGAAGCAATAAAACTGGCCTTCTTGAGACTAGTTGAGTATCTGGACCATCAGCAATTGTGGGTTCGATTACAGGCTCAAAATGGCCAGAAACAAATAACTTTCTTCTGAAACTCGTCAGTCTATTCTTGTTCTGAGAAATGAAGGCTATTCCATGCGAGAAATTGGCAAGAAACCACGCTGTGTACTACTCCCTTCACAGAACAGCGCAAACTGGCTCTAACCAGAATAGAAAGAGGAGTGGGAGGCCTCGGTGCACAACTGAGCAAGAGGACAAATACATTAGAGTGTCTAGTTTGAGAAACAGACGCCTCACAGGACCTCAACTGGCAGCTTCATTAAATAGTACCCGCAAAACACCAGTCTCAACGTCAACAGTGAAGAGGCGACTCCGGGATGCTGACCTTCTAGGCAGAGTTGCAAAGAAAAAGCCATATCTCAGACTGGCCAATAAAAAGAAAAGATTAAGATGGGCAGTCTGAGATATGGCTTTTTCTTTGCAACTCTGCCTAGAAGGTCAGCATCCCGGAGTCGCCTCTTCACTGTTGACGTTGAGACTGGTGTTTTGCGGGTACTATTTAATGAAGCTGCTTTTCTTTCGAAAACAAGGACATTTCTAAGTGACCTCAAACTTTTGAACGGTAGTGTGTGTATATATATATATATATATATATACAGTACCAGTTTTTTGTCTTTATTTTTACTATTTTTTACATTGTGGAATAATAGTGAAGACATCAAAACTATGAAATAAACAAAGCACCTCCACACCATCACACCTCCTCCTCCATGCTTTACGGTGGGAACTACACATGTGGAGATCATCCGTTCACCCACACCACGTCTCACAAAGACACGGCGGTTGGAACCAAAAATCTCCAATTTGGACTCCAGACCAAAGGACAAATTTCCACCTGTCTAATGTACATTGCTTGTGTTTCTTGGCCCAAGCAGGTCTCTTCTTCTTATTGGTGTCCTTTAGTAGTGGTTTCTTTGCAGCAATTCGACCATGAAGGCCTGATTCACACAGTCCCCTCTGAACAGTTGATGTTGAGATGTGTCTGTTACTTGAACTCTGTGAAGCATTTATTTGGGCTGCAATTTCTGAGGCTGGTAACAGCAGAGGAGGAAATAGATTCCACAAATTAACTTTTAAGAAGGCACACCTGTTAATTGAAATCCATTCCAGGTGACTACCTCATGAAGCTGGTTGAGAGAATGCCAAGAGTGTGCAAAGTTGTCATCAAGGCAAGGGGTGGCTATTTGAAGAATCTCAAATATAACATATATTTAGATTTGTTTAACACTTGTTTGGTTACTACATGATTCCATATGTTATTTCACAGTTTTGATGTCTTCACTATTATTCTACAATGTAGAAAATAGTAAAAAATAAAGAAAAACCCTTGAATGAGTAGGTGTGTCCAAACTTTTGACTGGTAGTATGTATATATACAGTATATAAAAAAGGGGGAAAATATGTTTTATTCCAACGTTTTTTTGAATATCGTTAGCGACAATTTTGTATTACAAACCTACAGTAGAAAATAGGTAAATATCTTCTTTGTCAACATTATTTCTCAACTCCTAATATTGAGCAAATTACACTCATTGGAGCTAATTACACTCACTGGAGTATCTGACATAGGCTTTGAAAAAGCACCCACAAGTATCAGTCGCACCAAGTGCCGATGGCTGTTGGTAAGCTTTCTTGACATGGACATCCATTTTTGCCAACACATGGCTAACCTTTGTTTAACTAGCTAAACAGCTACTACTAGCAAAAATGTGTTTGGAGTTACATTTTTAGCTAATAGGCTATGTTAGATTTTACACCAGGGGTCTACAACCTTTTCTAGCATGAGAGCTACTTGAAAAAAATGAAACGTCGCGAGCTACTCATTTTTTTGTAGCTTTCAAATAGGCACATTGTTCTCTTCTCCCCTGCAACTCTTACCTTGGTCCTTAGTGTAAATGAGAAAGTAGTGCACTATGTTTTCTGTCAATATACCTGGTAAAATAATGGTTAATAAACAATTAAGGGGGGCCCTATGAAATATTAACTTTTTTCCCACACATTTTGTTTTATATTTTCCCAAATTATATGTTCTCAGTTTTATATTACAATTGTTCATAGACAAACAACGAAATTGGATGTTCTGAGTCCATGTCAATGCTTAAATTCCATCAGAAGACAGTATTTTTTAGGTCTGGAAGAAAACTAACAGGTTTTTGAATGTAATTCCCCTTTAATTGCTCATCTGGCCCTTTAATTGGGCATCTGGCCCTTTAATTGCGCATCTGGCCCTTTAATTGCGCATCTGGACCTTTAATTGCGCATCTGGCCATCGAGGACTGTGCCTTCCAATGTGCCGGTCTAGCAATGGTTCTGTACTGTTGCTGCTCATTACATGGCAAAATTTGCAAATAACAAATAATAGATACAAATGATATACTTACTCATGATATACTTCTGCCAGGTAAGCCTACTTTGCAGTTAAGATTTAATTGAGAAGGTTTTGGGAAAGGTGTTTCTGTCAACCCACAAGACAGTTATCACATCAACTGGCAACGGCAACACAGAGTGACAAACGAACGCGCGCACCACACAGACAGACAGGGGCAATATTGCTGGAAATTAATTGGCAGATATTGTGTTAGGTTTGGCTTTTTAAGCCAATAGTGGCTAACCAGGGGTGGGATAATGTCCATGTTGGTTAGATAGTAGCTGGGAGCTTGCGGTGTCTGATACTTGTGAGATTTGTTTATGACAGTTTGTGGTGGAACATGTGAAAATTGCATATACTTTCACAATTGTTTGGCGAGCTACTCATAGGTGGGCTGCGAGCTAATGGTAGCTCACGATCGAACTGTTGGAGACCCATGTTTTAAACTCTTCTAATTATAATGTGGGGATGTCAAAATAATTAAAAACTATCTACCAAATCTATTCATTTTAAAATGTTGATTACTTCTTCCCATTATCATTCACCTGATGATAAAACTTTTTTTGCTAACATATGATTGGGGTCCCTGGGTTACTGGTTTGCCTGGGCGGGGGTCCCTGGTTGAAGACCCCTGGTCTAGACTATAGTTACACATAAACAGTATCATTCATAGAGGTCTCTCCCTGATACATGGCTGTTGTCTCCTTTGACGCCATATAAGTCAACAGCCATGTATTAGGGTTAATCAAGGTCAAGGGTCAAGGTCTCTCTTTCCTCACCCTGTGTTTGAACTCATTCTTCTCGTCAAGGGTCATGGTGTCAGACTTGGCGATGACGGGGATGATGTTCACCACGCGACTTAAGTGCTTCATAAACTCAATGTCCAGCTTTCGAAGACTGAGAGAGAGAGAGAGAGAGAGAGACATTACTTTGTCAGCTGGGATAGGAACAATTAGCAATCCTACAGCAGGGCTGGCATGCATTCGTGATTCTACAACCAGGATTACATGCAGTGAACACATTTTTTCAAAAGCTTCCCAATTTCAACCCAAGGCCCTAGTAAACACAGTCTTCAGGCTCATTGAACAACAGTTTTGTCCCTGTTTGAGGTCCTTGGGGGTAGGTAACAGCACAGAAAACATCCAATTAACAGAAAACATCCCGTTAGTCACAATGATCAACGCAAGAAAAATAACATGGCACACAGAAGACTGTAACAGTGTACGTAAAGAGCAATTTAACAGTTCAGATGAGTTGGCTTCATCTATTGCAGAGAACCATGTTGCCTGGTTGTGTTGTGATGTAGCTCAAGGATGTGTTTAGATCTGAATTTAAATGTCAGTGCAGTTGGATGTAAACTCATTAGAACTGAGATAGAGAACTGAGAGTCTGTGTGTGTGTGTTTGTCTGTGTGTGTGTGTGTGTGTGTGTGTGTGTGTGTGTAAACCCCCAATGCATGCGTAAGGACGTGAACTCCAATCAGATGTCAAGGAGAGATACTAAGTAGTGGATATAACTCATGCATACATTATGTTCTAAATTAGGACATTTCTCTTTCCGAATCACATGATGTATTTTTAACTCACGAGTGTCCAGTTGGGGAGATAAAGTAGAGGCAGCAGTGAACTCTGGTGTCGGGGATGCGCTTCTTTCGAGCAATATTGACCTCTTCCTTGAGGAACTTCTCATACTGCTCGTTGATGTACTTGGAGATAGGATCCCAGCTGCAGATGGATGGAACAAGGTGGGTGTTAGGAATATACAGTATACATACACACAATACATTGAGTTGAGCAGGGATGGTATAAGATTATACCGTTATAGCAGTGGTGGGTAGTTGGGTACGGTCAGGATAAGGTGCGAAAAGTGCAAATCAATCCCAGAACAACAGCAAAGGACCTTGTGAATATGCTGGAGGAAACAGGTACAAAAGTATCTATATCCACAGTAAAACAAGTCCTATTTCGACATAATCTGAAAGGCCGCTCAGCAAGGAAGAAGCCACTGCTCCAAAACCGCCATAAAAAAGCCAGACTACGGTTTGCAACTGCACATGGGGACAAAGATCGTACTTTTTGGAGAAATGTCCTTTGGTCTGATGAAACAAAAATAGAACTGTTTGGCCATAATGACCATCGTTATGTTTGGAGGAAAAAGGGGGACACTTGCAAGCCAAAGAACACCATCCCAACCGTGAAGCACGGTGGTGGCAGCATCATGCTGTGGGGGTGCTTTGCTGCAGGAGGGACTGGTGCATTTCACAAAATAGATGGCATCATGAGGAAGGAAAATGATGTGGATATATTGAAGCAACATCTCAAGACATCAGTCAGGAAGTTAAAGCTTGGTCGCAAATGGGTCTTCCAAATGGACAATGACCCCAAGCATACTTCCAAAGTTGTGGCAAAATGGCTTTAGGACAACAAAGTCAAGGCATTGGAGTGGCCATCACAAAGCCCTGACCTCAATCCTATAGAACATTTGTGGGCAGAACTGAAAAAGCGTGTGTGAGCAAGGAGGCCTACAAACCTGACTCAGTTACACCAGCTCTGCCAGGAGGAATGGGCCAAAATTCACCCAACTTAGTGTGGGAAGCTTGTGGAAGGCTACCCAAAACATTTGACCCAGGTTAAACAATTTAAAGGCAATGCTACCAAATACTAATTGAGGGTATGTAAACTTCTGACCCACTGGGAATGTGATGAAAGAAATAAAAGCTGAAATAAATCATGCTCTCTACTATTATTCTGACATTTCACATTCTTAAAATAAAGTGGTGATCCTAACTGACCCAAGACAGGGATGTCACGTGTCCTACATATATCAATAGACGCATAACAACCTAAGCATTACATAACTTATGTTCGAGCAAATAAACCATTACATTTTTTGTTGACCAAATTCGACACTCTTTGACCTCCATACATACAACTCCTCGCTTGGTGAGTGAAAAAAACAAAAAGAAGACAGATTTTGGCCCGAGTTATTCCTCTCGCTTGGCCTCTTTCTCTGCCCTAACCTAGCCACCTAGCTAACGTTAGCGAAAGCAAATTGGAATTTGTAACATATACGTTTAGCAAATTTCCAACAATGTACGAATTGCAATTCGTAACATATCATACTAATTGTTATTCGTAACATATCATACTAAATGGATGATCGACGTCCACAAATTCATACATCCCATACAAAATGTAACATATCATATTAATTGGAGTGTCCCAGATTTACATTTACTATGTTCCCTTTACCCCTGAGTCCTGGTAGCAGCAGCGGCCAGAAAGCAACACAGCTGTTAGTGGCTAGAAGGGATACAGCTTTTGTCAAATTAACGTAAAAAGTAATTGTTTTGGTGCTGTTTAGTCTCGTGTAGCTCAGTTGGTAGAGCATGGCGGTTGCAACGCCAGGGTTGTGGGTTCGATTCCCACGGGGGACTAGTAGGGGAAGAAATTAAATAATGTGTGCACTCACTACTGTAAGTCGCTCTGGATAAGAGCGTCAGCTAAATGACTAAAATGTAAATGTCGATAAGGAGAATGTACTGTATGTAAAAATATGTTCTAGTGTGGCAGTTCTATTTCTATCTGAATCATATACATGGTTTGTGCTTAACTAATTGCAACTAACCCCAAACTAAAAATAGACTGTAAGCGCCCAATAATGACACAGGCTCTGACAATTTTTCCTACATACTCACCAGTTTTCATTGTTGATCTGATCACCAAAACCTGGTGTGTCGATTACTGTCAACTTCATCTTCACTCCACCCTCCTCGATCACTGCAACATTCAATTACATCATTCAATTGCAACATTCAATTGCAACATTCATACTGTAAGTACGTTTGCCAAAATCAGGTGACAAAAAGTAAAACATGCAAGAAAGCAGTCAATAAAGGATATGTAAGTTTTTCCCTGACTCATAGAAGGGGATTTTGCTTTGATTGTCAGTGAGAATGACAAATGTGCACCGATGCAGAAATAAAGCTAGCAGTACAGTGTTTTTAGCCAGACAGAAAAAGACAGAAGCTCTTCTCTGCCTCTGTGTCTGTCTGGGATGCCAGGTGGGCTTCACGTGCCAGCTGTGCCAGTCTAAGACACCTCAGGGCATATTCTGTCAGGTCTTTCTATGCCCGTGGCGCTACGAATGGCAGTGCAAAACTGCAGCCCCTGCAGTCAACACAACTTAGGCTAGGACACTATATGTTAGTGTATGGTTATAAATGCCACCATTATAACATGAATTGGCCTCTGAAAGCTAACCAAACAACCGGACCAAGCAAATGACAGCTCTAATCAAACCTCAACAGTAGAAGATAAACACCTATTCACAGACACACACTCTCACGCACGCACACACACACTCTATCCCTATCTCTCTTGCTCACACACACAAAACACACACACACTCTATCCCTCTCTCTCTTGCTCACACACACATACACATACACACACACACTCTATCCCTCTCTCTCTCTTGCTCACACATACACATAGAGCTTAGAGGAAATGTCTCTCTCACCGTGGGACACAGCCTTGATCTCCACTGTCTTGGGGATCTTATGCTCGCCGCCCCATCCTGAGCTCCACCTGCTGACCTGGGACTTGAACAGCGTGTTCACCAGTGTTGACTTCCCCAGCCCGCTGTGACCTGAGAGAGAGAGAGAGAGAGAGAGAGAGAGAGAGAGAGAGAGAGAGAGAGAGAGAGAGAGAGAGAGAGAGAGAGAGAGAGAGAGAGAGAGAGAACAGATAGAGAGAGAGAGAGAGAGAGAGAGAGAGAGAGAGAGAGAGAGAGAGAGAGAGAGAGAGAGAGAGAGAGAGAGAATGTTTTGAGGCATGATGTTGTTGAGGAAGAGAGACAGAACAAGGGAGAGGCACGACTTCATTTCATGTTTCATGTCTCTGTGTTTGCTAGCACACCATGGGTTCACGTACTCTTCAGAAAGACACTAAATACATCAATCATAACAGACACAGACAGAAGATGTTGTCCTTCCTTACTTACCCACTATCATAATATTGAAGTCGAAACCAGCCTTCATGGTCTTCTTCCTCATCTGCTCGATGATGGTGTCAATCCCAATGTATCCCAGCAACGTGGATCCACCGCCCGAGTGACCCGACCCTGGAACTCGATCAACCCCGACCCCGCCTCCTAGCCCTGATGGTCCATGGGGTGCTGTGGGGGATGGTGCTGACACATGAGGGGGCTTGGCAGGGACAGCAGGTTTGGGTCTCACTTCAGGGGGAACAATGGACTCTGACATGTCTGGAGGGTAAAATATGCTTTTATTAGGCCTTCAGAAATTATTCCCACCCTTTGACTTTTTCCACATATTGTTGTGTTACAGCCTGAATTTAAAATTGATTCAATTGAGATTTTGTGTCACTGGCCTACACACAATACCCCATAATGTCAAAGTGGAATTATGTTTTTAGACATTTTTACAAATGTATTAAAAATGAAAAGCTGAATTGTCTTGAGTCAATAATTAATCAACCCTCTTGTTATGGCAAGCCTAAATAAGTTCAGGAGTACAAATGTGCTTAACAAGTCACACAATAAGTTGCATGGACTCACTCTGTGTATAATAATAGTGTTTAACATTAATTTGAATGAAATTACCAACTAATCTCTGTACCCTACATTACACATACAATTATCTGTAAGGTGCCTCAGTCAAGCAGTGAATTTCAAACACAGATTCAACCATAAAGACCAGGGAGGTTTTCCAATGCCTCGCAAAAGGGACAGACATTGAATATCCCTTTGAGCATGATTAAGTTATTAATTACACTTTGGATGGTGCATTAATGCACCCAGTCACTACAAAGATACAGGCATCCTTTCTAACTCAGTTGCCAGACAGGAAGGAAACCGCTCAGGGATTTCACCATGAGGCCAATGGTGACAGAGTTTAATGGCTGTGATAGGAGAAAACTGAGGATGGATCAACAATTACTCCACAATACTAACCTAAATTAGAGTGAAAAGAAGGAAGCCTGTACAGAATACAAATATTCCAAAACGTGCATCCTGCAATAAGGCACTAAAGTAAAACTGCTAAAAATGTGGCAAAGAAATGAACTTTATCTCCTGAATACAAATTGTTATGTTTGGGGCAAATCCAACACAACACATCACTGAGTACAACTCTTCATATTTTCAAACATGGTGGTGGCTGCATCATGTTATCAGTATGCTTGTCATCTGCAAGGACTAGGGAGTTTTTTAGGATAGAAGAAACAGAATAGAGCTAAGCACAGGCAAAATCCTAGAGGAAAACCTGGTTCAGTCTGCTTTCCAACAGACACTGGGAGACAAATTCACCTTCCAGCAGGACAATAACCTAAAACACAAATATACACTGGAGTTGCTTACCAAGACGACATTGAATGTTCCTGAGTGGCCTAGTTAGTTTTGACTTAAATTGGCTTGAAAATCTATGGCAAGACATGAAAATGGCTGTCTAGCAATGATCAACAACCAACTTGACAGAGCTATAATAATGTTTTTTTACGAATAATGTGCAAATATTGTGAAATCCAGGTGTGCAAAGCACTTAGATTTACCCAGAAAGACTCACAGCTGTAATCACTGCCAAAGGTGATTCTAACACTCACACAGGGGTGTGAATACTTATGTAAATGAGATATGTATTTATTTCATTTTCAATACATTTGCAAAAATTTTGAAAAACATGTTTTCACTTTGTCAGTATGGGGTATTGTGTGTAAATTAGTGAGATTTTGTTCAAATATTTAATCCATTTTGAATTCAGGCTGTAACACAACAACATGTGGAATAAGTCAAGGGGTATAGCTCATTTCTGAAGGCACTGTAAAGAGAATGATACCTATAGTAGACTGGTTTACCACAGTAAATAGTGCACTACTGCACACAGATGGTGATGATAACAGACATATGGCTATGTATGCACAATGTGTGTATAATTTGAGTTTAGGTCACTCCAGGGCATACAAATTTAGCTGCTTTTGTGTATGAGTACAAGATCATCCATAAGCCTTGACATAGATCACAGGTCAGAAAAGCAGAGGCCATCAGCTGAATTTAGAGCATCAATGATTAATCATACTCTGTCGCTTGCTGTCTCTGTCTTGCACACACACACACACACACACACACACAGACACAGACACACACACACATAGTCTACACATCAAACAGGAATACACAACATCAAATAGGCTTCTGATAGATTATGCAAAGCCTGCTCAAAATCTGGAGTGGTATCACAAATGATAGCTAGATCTGCACAAAATAATGCAAAAATAGATATTTGGCCTCTCTACTAAGTCATTTCACCTGATATAACATCTATTTTTTGTCAATAATCATATCTCAAATTTAAATCTAAATTCTCTGCTGAATGTGTGGTCTGTCATCCCATCAAAGATAGACTACAATGATGATGTGAGAGCATCCACACACATCCACATTATATCTTTGTGTGATTTCAGATGGCGACAGTTAGGGCCATATTACCCCCTGTGCTCCGCAAGCTGAGGGAGGATATTTTACGTTTTAACGTCATTTCTACGGTCTGACTGAGGGCTAGCCAGATCAATCCACATTTCGCTAGCTTGATCAAACATATCCTGAACAATAACCTCGGTCAATGTTTAACCTCACAAGCCACACGATAGCAGCTGATTATCTACATCCCAAAACCTGTTTAACCAAACCATTGTCCCGGCTCCATCCATGCTGGATAAATTATACTAATTTAGCTAGCTAACGTTAGCTATGCTAGCTATCCGCATCCGTCTGCTGAGATGTTGATAGCTGCGCGACTTACCGATTCCTGTTTATAGATTCAATTGCCAAATAGTTTTGTGCCGCGACAGCCGGTGGAATTTCGACTAGTCTTTCAACACAATGCTCAAGAACAAACGACGGATGTCCAACACAGGGAGGCAGATAAGCGATGTAGGAAACGGGTCATGTGATTTGTCTGAGCGCCTCTTTCCCTCCGTCGCTTACCTCGGTCGCTCTCCACCTCTCTCTCTCTCTTTAGTCGAGAGCCCTCCTTTTCGTTACCAAGGCGACAAGAGGAGAGAGATGATGCAGAACGCATGCTCAAACAGAAGTTTACCTCTAGGGAACCTTTTTGGCATCACCTGAGTATCTTTGGTCATTTTTGCACAATCAATCAGAGTATTTGATTGGACGAAACTGTAATGGATAACAATCTATAAAAAATCATCATGAAAAATATATTGATCCATGTAGCCTATTTATCGAGGTTAGTCATGTCTCATGTTTCATCATTTCTTTCAATTGCATTTTGGTCATTTAAAGTAATGAGAGAAAATTCTCATTAAATGCTTAATGGCAAGACTGTATACATGATTGATTAAAAAAAAATCAAGTGATTGTGCGTAAACTACAAAGCATAGTTCACTGTGTAAATGTTAACTGAGAGTCAAGAGGACACCAACAAATAATGCAACAACCGAAACACAATGTCATTGGTATTGTATAATTCACTGTAGGCATAGCCAGGGTTGGGTAGATTACTTTCTAAATGTAATGAATTACAGTAACTAGTTACCTGCCCAAAATTGTAATCAGTAACATAACTTTTGGATTACCCAAACTCAATAACATAATCTGATTACTTTCAGTTACTTTTGAATTAGCCTACTTTCCCCTTAAGAGGCATTAGAAGAAGATAAAAGGATCAATCAAATGCATTTGGTGTGTCATCATATTGGTCTCTGACTTGTGGTCAGACTCTCTCAGGTGAAACAAACCTAAACTTGCGCCTTTTTCAATGCTGAATTGAATGTCATTTAGAAAACAGAAAAGTGTCATAATGTTTTTTTCCCCCGCAAACATCCTTTCTGAATTTAAAAGTAATCCAAGAAGTAATCATCTAGTTTTTCAAAAGCATCTGTAATCTGATTACAATATTTTTGCTGGTAACGTTACTGTTTTTTTGGTAATCAGGTTACATGTAACTGGGCCTAACTACAACATTCCATATTTCAAAATGCATTGAATCAGCCACAGCACACCACAACATTGAAAGGAGAAGCATTTGCATCCAATGGTCAAATAGTACCATACTCACATATATGGCGTTTTGTTGTTTGCTCCTATGTTCTCGCACTGCTGTCTTTTGTGTTCATGTTGTATGAGTTTTGTTTGTTCTCTCTAGTCTACATGGTGTGCAGACTTTTTGCGTTGTGTCATGTGTCACTCTCTTAACCCCACAGTTCCCCCAAACTTGGTTTTATCAAAAAAAAATTGCATGTCTGTTACTCTTCTGATAAGGAGCCATGTCTCAAATTCCCTCCAGTGCTCTCTCTCTCTCTCTCTCTCTCCTCTCTCTCTCTCCTCTCTCCTCTCTCTCCTCTCTCCTCTCTCTCTCTCTCTCTCTCCTCTCTCTCCTCTCTCTCTCTCTCTCTCTCCTCTCTCTCTCTCCCTGACTTTCAGAGTAATATGTTAAGTCTGAATAAAGAGAAGTTATAACCAACAAATCCGATATTGATATGTCAGGAGATACAGGCACCAAATATTTGTTTACACTATCAAGTGCATGGACTTCATTGAAAACTTTTTCTCATTACTCACCCATTGACAAATACACTTGAGGAGGCATGGTGATGTCATCATGTAATTGCTCTGCCTCTTCATCAACAGATGTCATGCTTGAAAGAGGGTGATCCAATTCATGTGATGGTGAGATATCCATCTCTCCTGGTCTGTAGCAGTCTATGCCCTGGCTCTGGGGTTGGGATGGTTGTTCAGCGACCTCTGTTGAATCTGGGCCAACCTGTGATGTTTTGTGCTGCTGGTTGCGCTCCATGGACAGGAGCCAGTGCACAGTCCATTCTTCTGAGGAATATTCTGGTGGGTTTGTGGTGGGCCTCTCATGGTCAGGTGGTGGAGGTGGACATGTGCGGGTGGGTTCTAGATGAACTGGCCTAAGTCCTTTGACTCCTTTGTAATTGCTGTCGTTGCTCTTCACCATTCGTGAAGCCGATTGGCCAGGATGTAAATTAGGTTTCTGTGATTGGCTGAACATTTTGGGAACGGTTCCACTGTGCAGCACACATTCATCTGGATTGGGTTTGGTGGATTCTGTAACTGGACCACTATTGATATTTTGGCAATGGTCCAAATCCAAGCCCTGTCCATGTTTAATAGTTGACCTCTCAGGGGGCTCTGGCAGGGTAGAGGGTGTGAGGGAGGCCCCCTGTGTCAGCGGTACCATCAGACATGTCTGGGTGTTGTCGCTGTTTGACCTTTTCACCCCAGACTGAAGGGCTTCCTGTTTCTGATTGACTTCTAAAAGACATCTACCCATCAAAATGCTGCTATTTGACTGAATAGATTGATTCCGTTTCCTCTCAATGGTTTGTGTATCGGTTGGTAGACTTCGACACTGAAGTCTAGTCCAGAATTTGGGTCTTTGGAGGTTGTTGTATTTTCTACTAGGGCTGGCTTGTACTAAAGGTTGAGATGCAGCATCTGAGATTGTCTTTGTAGACTCTTCCAGATGAGACTCTTTGGTGGTAAAGTCCTTTATGAATGTTGCTCCCTTCTTTGCCCAAGGGTTGATTTCATAGCTGCTTCTTTTGAGTTCTGTAACTGCTGCAGATGTTGATCGACTTAGGTGTTCTTTCCAAGATGGTGTCTTGGGAGGCATGGGAGGAGAAGCACTTTCACAGTATTCCTTTTGACTGAAAGATAGTCGACCAGCATATACGCTGGCAGCCTGAGACTGAAATCCCTTCTGAAGATGTCCAATGTTTTTGAATGTTTTTGGTGAAGCAAGGCTACATTGGGAACCCTGTCCACCCCTCGTTGAGTTAAACTGAAAATGAATTGATTGAGTATCATTCTCAACAATAGTTGGGACTTTCCTCCTTGAGACAACATTTTGTCTGGCTGCCATGCCTCCTGACAGAGCAGTACCTGATGGGGTCACCAGGTCATTTGGTCTTGGTTCAGATTCAGATATTGTGTCAGCAACTTTTGGCTTGGAAATTGTATCCTTACCTAGAAGAAACCCAGGGCTGGATTTTGTTATCATTCCTGTTTTCCTTAGTCCTAGCCTGGCCTGCAACAAGTGCGGGTCCTGAGACTTCATGCCTTTTGTCCTGTAGACCCCTGAATGCTGAGATTGAGGAGAGGAATGGGTGTACGTATCAGGCGGTGTGCCTACACCTCTAGAATAAGACGTTGGTACAGGTTTCATCAACCCAGAACGTGTTACAAAGTCCATCAGAACCTCTTGGTCAAGTATGTCATGGGTCGCTGGTTTAGGGGAACACTGGTAACGATGCTCAGCCTGACATTTAGTTCTAGAGATAGGGATTGACCGGGCCCGTCTTCCTTTGGCTACAGGGGAGGTCTGTTTTGTGCCTTGACTCTCCAATGGCATTGTCTGACAGAACAGCGTTGGAGATGGGCCAAGCCGGATCTTTGGGATGAAAAGGTTTGGAGAGAGGTTTGGCTTTGTAATGATAAGTGGTGGAGAAACACTATGATTTGGAATAGGAACTTTTGGAGAGATGCTAGGATTTGGAATAGGAACTTTCCAAATAGGCTTTGGAGTAGGAGGGGTCGTGGAGGGGCCTAGCCTGACCTTCGGAGTAGGAAGTGTCGGAGAGACACTTGGTTTGAGCTTTAGAATAGGAAGTGTTGTGGTTCTGTCGCCAAGGGTCCTCTCTGTGGGAAGATGGAGGCCCTGGCCGTCAAAGGAGGAGATCTGGATGGGTTTCTTCGTGACAACAGGAGAGAGCCGGAGAGGAAGGGGCGATGGGACTAGTAGGTGTTTCTGGGGTTGTTTGTAGGACATGGGTAGCTGAGGCAGCAAGGGTGCAAGTTGGTTAGCAAAACCCACTGCAAAGAGAAATTATGAATATCTGCAAAGCCTGGCAGGTTTGATGAGTAGGGAGTGCAAGAAGGTTAATGGGAGACAATACATTTTTAGGTTAATTTAGGTGTTTTTTTTCTTAAATGTTTACATATTTATTTATATTTAAGTCTGTAAGAAACATAACTTGCATGTAAAAAGCATAGCAAAAAACGTTAGTGATGTATGCCTACTCAAATAGTCATCTGCATTACGTTGCATTACAGAAGACTCCAAGCCTGATCAACTAAAAATGAATATAAAGATGAGAGTATACAATTAAACAAGCACTGACCTGAGTGTATGTGATAGGCTCTATCTGTGTTGTTCACATGGAGTGAAAGACAGAGCGAGTAAGAGGCAGGGAGAGACAGAGAGTGAGAGAGGGGAGGGAAGAGAGAGAGAGATGAGAGAGAGAGAGACGAGAGAGAGAGAGAGGGAGAGAAGAGGGGAGAGAGAGAGTGACGAGAGAGATAGATAGAGAGAGAGATGAGAGGGAATGAGACACAGTAACCTCTCTCTCCTCTCTCTCTCTCCCTCTCCTCTCTTCCCTCTCTTTCTCTCTCGCTCCCTCTCTCTCTCTCTCTCTCTCTCTCTCTCCTCTCTCTCTCGCCTACAAATCTCTCCTTCTCTCTCGGCATCTCTTCGCTCTCTCCTCCTCTCTCTCTCTCTCTCTTGGTCTCTCTCCTCCTCTCTCTCTCTCATCCTTCCTCTCTCTCTCTCTCGTCTCTGATAGGATAGAGTGTGTCAGGGAGAACAGCTAGAAGTCGTGGGTACCAAAGGGACATTCTTCCCATTCCTCTCATCTAAAGCTGCACTGTTTCACCCACCCACTCCCTCCCTCCTCATTTGGGTTGTCTATGGGAAACATAAATGTGTCTGTGCATAAACTACTGTTTTTCTTTTTTCAGAGCTGAGAATCAGTGCATAACACGGGGTAATCAAGTGGTGATAAAACCATTTATTTGGTTATTTCTTATGAATACATAATGATGGTAATATGGTCAACAGTGCACAATGATACATACACAATGATACGTACACATACGTACACATTCTTCACCATCCTTCAGTCAAAACGGACAGTGTAATGAGAATAAAATAAAAATGTTTTCTTAGGATCGACCTCTGAATGGATTATTTTGGCATCTTGAACAACCTATTCATCAATCTATTTGGCACATAACTGATATCATTACTGAAAGCAATTTACAGTTTCACCTTTACAAATACTTCCAAAACAAGAGACATCTTGATAGCAGCTGCCATATTGGCATTTTCAGAACACTGATTTTGTGGTTTCAACATTTAGTAATTTATTGCACTTTATTAATCAGCTTAAAATGCACTAAGATATATAAACATTATGATAAATGTAGTGATTGTCTGGTTATAAAATATATGCAAAAATTGGCTCAATCATGAAATGGCACAAATATCAACATGATAACAGGAACTATCAATTTGTTCAAATGACCTCATTTTTGTTTCCCATCTCAATGCTGTTTCTGCCCAGTCAGGTCTCTCATGTCTCCAACTTCTCAGGAGGTGTCTGTCTCTGTCTACCATCCTGCAGGCCTCCAGTCCCAGTCCCACTCCATATGGCCAGGCTCTGTCCTTCCTTTAGTGTATGTTTGGTAATATCATATGAGGGCATTGCTATCTTCGTCTTTGCTGTTCAAGCTGACCACCAGCGGATGGTGCTTCACAGTCTTGTTGCTCCACTTGTGTGCGTCCTGAAGCCCTGGCTCGAGGAAGTAGAGACAGGCTCCGAAGCCGGCCAGCACCAGGACCGACACCAGCAGGTAGACAGGGACGAACCAGTCCAGGAACATCCAGGACATGGTACTGTTAGGGAGCGGTACATGAGTAAGAAGGGAGACATTAAATTGTGAGCTGATGATGAAATACCTAACACAATCTACTTATTCTACACATGGGTGCAGCTCTATCTGTGTTGAGGTCTATTAGTCGTGGCAGGCTATTGCCATCCAAATACTCAAACATGCTTTGCCATCTACTGGCATTCCTTTACTGTACCAATAGATGATGTCCACTGTAACAGATTGCACACATTAGCTGCTAGAGTAACTGCACACGATCATGACAAAAATAGCATCCCACAGTAGCTAGCAGGTTTCGGCACATACCTGTAGTCTCTGCTGTGCCTGCCTTCCTCTGAATATGGTGGTTATGTAAAATGGAGGAGCAGTGGAGTCACTAATCAGATGATGTATTGATCTAATGCAGCACCGCCGTCAGCTGCATGGTACAGTCAAATCCCAGGTGATCTCTCTGTACAGATGACAGAGAGCGAAGCTGCATGCGGGTTCATCATACTGCTCTGGGTTCTGACGTCACATTCAAAGGGAGGGGAGGAGGGGGGCGTTGCTATGACAACAACCCTAGTGATGGGTGGAGGCGTGAGTGGGGGGGGTTATATAACGGTTATTATGGTGCTTTTTTGGGCCAGGGCCCTTCAGATGTCTCCGATCGCCTCTTCCATCCTCCGCCTCCCCTCTGCGTGAAATCGATTCCACTTAATTTAACGCACAAACGATCACAGAGGACGAGGGCAATGTTCTCCTTCATATCAGTCACTCAGGCAGAAGCAATATGCTTATGTTTTTTTCTCTTGATGTCTGAGACCATTTTTTAAATCTGAGACAATGACTAAAATAAGACTGAAGAGCAGGAAGGATGACCTATTTATTGTCAAACTGTACAAGGAAGCAGCCTTTTGTCCAATTAGTTGAATGATTGTTATTCAGCTCTAGGACCATATGAAGGAAAGATAAGCTTGATAGATCAACCTCTAATTCACTTCTTATTGGGCCACATCCAGGAAGTGGACATGTAGGTCTGCATCTGATTGGTGTGAACACAAACCCTATACAATTAGGTTTTATAAAATGTGTCATTTATAAAAATATGAATGCATTTCCATTGGTTCTGACCAGTAGCAAGGCACTCTAAGGCATCACCAGGTCATCAGTTGGGAGAAAACATCCCAGTTCTAAACAGCCCAAATCTAAAAAGACATGACATACAGCAACAGGTAAACATCAAGTATTCTAGCTAGACTACAGTTTAAAAGTATTGATGTGTTTTAGATACAGCGCAATATAATAAATAGTAGGGTTTCAAAGTATTTCAATCTGTTTATGCAACAGTTGTCTATTTGCACAAGTAGCAATTTATTGTGTGTCTACAGGTTTGTAAACTAATCCAGTCTCATATTATAGGTAGACTCAGCGGAATGACGTTGCCACGAGCAGCACCGCAGATATTGAGATGAGCGGGATACAAGATTTCGCTCTCACACAGTCACACACAGTTCACTTCACAGGTTCACGAGGAGTTGTTGCGGAAATGTACCCACTATGCTGTTTACTTTCTGCATCTCCATCAAATCGCTGAGTCTACCTTTAATATTGCTCATATTATGAATGGATGAATGGCACCAGGAAGGCTACAGGCCCACTGCATGTATTTGAGAGTTCTAAATAATAACTAACACAGTGGGGGGAGGGGCGGAGGGTTATAACTTGGCTGCCTGTGTATCCTCTGCAGTGCTGTGTGAAGGAGCTTCTTCCTGGAGGAAGTCAGTGACGATTTGGGCCACAGTCTCAGGGGTGTTCAGGTGGACATGATGATCACCAGGTACGTTAACCACCATGCCCTGAGAGACAGAGAGAGAGACAGAGACAGAGACAGAGACAGAGACACAGAGAGAGAGAGAGAGAGAGAGAGAGAGAGAGAGAGAGAGAGAGAGAGAGAGAGAGAGAGAGACAGAGACAGAGAGAGAGAGACAGAGAGAGAGAGAGAGAGAGCGCAAGACAGAGAGAGAGGCGTGAGAGAGTGGGAGGGAGAGAGACAGAGAGAGACAGAGAGGGATGGGGGAGAGAGAGAGAGAGAAAGAAAACAAATAAATATAAACTATTCCTTCCCAAAAACCCTGCATTTGACCAATCTGAGTGCCAGTATGTAGGTCAGTGTTTGCAGCTAAAACTATTCTTACTGCCTCTCTGTGATGCTGAGCTTTTACCACTGTCTCTGCTTAGTTCTCATCTATACAGTACTGTAGCTGCAAGGAGCAGAGAACAATATGATTGTAGTAACAACATAAGGACCAATATTCTGCTTCAATGTTTCAGTAGCAACCATAAAAGTGACATTAGTGTCCACGATTTAAATGTGAGTAGACCATTGTTTCTTTGTAAATGCAGCTGTATAAGTAAGTATACTCACGCTTTGGTCTTTATACCCTTGAAGTAGCGTTGAGGTAAATGTCTTCTGTTCTGGTTCAGAAAACATCTTCTCAAACCCCTCCTCCGCCCTATCAGGAGAATTAGACAGATCTTTAAGTAAAACATATTAACAGTAAAGAATAGTGATTGACGGTATAGTATGGTAAAGTGTAACATACAACAGAAACTGTGTAATAATCAGGTAATAATTGTGAAATAGTGTAATGATGGGAGAGTGTCTTACAGTACTACTAGAACTCTGGCCTGTATCCTGGACTGCAACTCTAGACTCTGCTCCAGGCTGACACGCACAACGTTTTTCTGAAACAAACAGAAACAAAACACATTAGCCTTCCTATAAACAGAAAAGATACAAATCAACTAGTGTGTCTTTTTTATGAGGACTATTAACACAAAAAGATGAGTCTTACCAGATTGATTCGAAAGTCTCGGGTGAACACAACCCCTATGAAAGCAAAATAGAAAGTGTTAGTATTACTATTATATTACAATGATATGAGTACGAAAGATGACAAGAAAGAGAGAAACAAAGTGAAATTAGAAAAAAAGACAATAAGAGAGAGAGAGAGAGAGAGAGAGAGAGAGAGAGAGAGAGAGAGAAAAAAATGATCATTTTACCTCCTTCAACCTGAGCGAGTCCTCGTTCTAGAAGAATGTGTGCAGACTGCTTCGAGAGAGAGGGGTTTGCTGCCAAAAGTCTGGAAGTGATTAACACATCAAAAGAGTGACGCATTGACTAGGATTATCATAGCAGAGAGATTATGGCCAGACAGCCCAACATAACAGAAGTGTCATTGTAAAACAAGGAAGTGTGGTCTTACCTCATCAATGCGTTCTCATAGGTGTAAACCTTCTCTTTCATCTCATCTTTCTTCTTCTCAAACTGGAGCATTTCTTCAAATCCCTGTCTTATCACCGTATGCAATTCTTTCTAGGGTAAGAGACCCAATGTTAGAGAGCGAGACATTATAAATGTGGATGTTCTGAACAGTTCCAAGGAGAAAATGATCAAAGAGTGGTTGGTGTTTCAGTACCGAGTCTGTGGGTATGAATCCATAGGAGTCCAGGAGAACCACTGACTCCACCATCTCTGGATACAGAGCACTGAACTGGACAAAGACAACAGGACATGGTTACATACACAGATACTGTCTCTGGATATTGTCAATTGCGAAGACACACAGAGATATGAAACACCATTGACGTGTTTTTTTTTTTTTTTATGCTTACCATTCCAGCTACATTGCCACCTGTAAAATGGAGAGCACATGATCAGATGTCTGTACAAACAGGAAAACAACAATGTCTGATCTGAACACAACGAGTGGAAGAGAGATTAACATGAACATGAACAGTCACTCACCCATACTGTGTCCGATAATAGAAAATCTCTTCCATTGGAGAGCTGCAAACACATTTCAATGGATTAAATCGATAGATAATCTGCTAAATTTGGCTTCATACTTTTATACCTAATCACACCTACCTAGGACAGAAAGAATGAAGAAACCTCATATAGCTGTGTCTAACTTCACTTTACTTTCAATCATTGCTTTTCAGCTCTTACTGGGGCAAAGGTCACATTGGTCTGAATACACTCTAACCAGCAGGTAGCGGTTTGAACATTGGGCCAGTAACCGAAAGGTCGGTAGTTCGAGCCTACAAGGTGAAAAATCTGTTGATGTGCCCTTGAGCAAGGCACTTAACCCTAATCGCTCCAGGGTCGCTTCCAGGCAGACCCTGGCCGTGACCCCATTCTCCGAGGGTGTCTCAGAGAGAGTGGGATTTGCAAAAAACACATTTCCAATTCACACATTTGTATTAATACACACTTGTGCATGTGTGAAATAGGACAAATATATGCATCCACTAAATTAATTTCAATTATTATTATTACCTCCAATGACTCGCCGTATGTCGGCCACATAAGCAGGAAAGCTGTAGAAGACTCCAGGAGGTCTATGGGAGGAGAGGCCATGGCCTGCCATATCCACAGCTACATACTTCCACTCTGAGTGTGTGTGTGTGTGAGTGTGAGTGTGAGTGTGAGAGAGAGTGTGAGAGAGAGAGAGAGAGAGAGAGAGAGAGAGAGAGAGAGAGAGAGAGAGAGAGAGAGAGAGAGAGAGAGAGAGGGTATGTAAGAGCCTGACTCACTCCGTACTGAACAACTATGCAACTGAATGTCCTTCCATTTCCAATGACAAGCTCTCATGTATCTATTGTATAATTATCTGTGCTGATCTAGCAGTCAGACAGCCTACGTACCTTTGGGCAGCAGTGGAATGAGAGTGTTGAAAGTGCCACAGTTGTCTGCCCAGCCGTGCAGGCAGAGTATTGGACGACCACGGTCAGGACCCCAGACCTTGCCCCTCATCTCTCCCCACGGTACTGGCATATTGAACTCTGACACTGAAGGGCAATTACTATTAAGACACATTACTAAGCATATAACATGGCACAACAATCAGTAATAGTGCATGAGGACGTGTTATAAGAAGCTCAACAAACAAACAAACAAGAACACACACACACAACACACTAATGAGTTCACTAAGTTAATGTCAAGAGAGCTCCCATAAGTTCTGATGATCAAGAAAGGATTCATTCTTACCTGTTTGTTTCATGGTAGCTGATGTCATCAAGTGTCTGACCCCTTTCAAAGTTTGCATTATTCTGAAAGACAAACTGCAAAGTCGGGTTGTTAGCTAAACATAAGCACTATACGTCCACAACGTCGATATATTAAATATATCATATAAATGCATTAATAAAACGTTAGTTACGAAATAACAACAACTCTATTCACGCTAATGTAACCTTTGAAACGCTTCTCCATTACTTCCGGGTGAAGTGACACATGTTATTTTGACGAATGAAACGTGAACGCGTCTCCACTTTTAGCGAATAATATTGGACATCTAGTGGCCGGTTAAATGACTGACAAGAGCACGCGCCAATCCTATGTGAGCCCTTGTCCAATCACATACTTTGTGAGGAGAACGGGGCGGGAGAACACAAGGCGTTCACAAGAAGACAAGGTGCGGTCACAAAGCATCCAGAATGATATCATTCTAGCAATAAACCAAACAAAAGGTCAAGACTACGACCAACGTGTCATTTTCCCCAATATAATTTTTAAAAAAAAATTCATCTGAGTATAGCTCAAGGCATTGGCCTGGAGTTTGTTGCAGAATTTGTCTGTTCCAAACATTTCATGACGTTTAGCCTATTGGCATGAAAAACAAAAATCATTTTCAAAACTTGTGAGGAAATTCCAGCCTTCTAAACATTCTAGAGATGGACTACAAGGCATATTAAACAGACAAAGTGGATGCTGTTGTGTCTGCAAAAATTCACCAGGGGGCAGAGAGTCGATATGGTAAAACCCAACGCCTACAATAGGTTGAGAGCGCTGCACACTGCTCTCAGAGCAACCAGATATGCAACTTCAAGTGGTCTTGATTTTACAATTAATGTCAATGTCAGTGTATGCATAATATGTGAGGCATTGTTTATATTCATGGAAGGAATTATTCCAGAGGCTGAAAACATAACACAGAGGTCTGCGATATTGGCTGCTCTAGAAAATATAATATTTTCTCGAAGCTCTATCAGTCACCAGACAGACCTCTTTTGTCAATCAAGATAGCCATTACCTTAAAGGGATAGTTTGAGACTTTGGCAATGAAGCCCTGTATCTACTTCCCTGGAGTCAGATAAACTGGTGCATTCTATTTTTATGTCTCTGTGTCCAGTATGAAGGAAGTTAGAGGTAATTTCGCAAGGTAATGCTAACTAGCGTCAGCGAAATAACTGGAAGTCTACAGGAACAGCTAGCAACTATCCCTTTAATTATGATCAAAGAGGCCAGAGATGGATTAGTTTTTCTCCCCTTACCAAAATCTATATTTGGGTGTCTCTGGACAACCGAGCAACACTAGATACAGCAGACAAAACTATCATGACAAACATTTTCCACAATGTATTAGCAAACATGTGTTATTCGATTTATACCTTTGAAATGTGTCAAAAGTAGAGTGTTTCAAAAGTAGAGAATACCATCAATCGGTTATATCCCAAACCGGCAGGGTTTAAACTTGACCTGAACTTGAACCCCACTAAAGGAGTGAAAATGGCTAGGGCCTAAACATATCCATGCTTAAATGCTCTGGCAAAACTGTCTGGTGGTCCTGGCTGCTGCCAGCAGTTATTTATAAAGCTACATGTTGACTGAAGAGAGAGAAAGATAGGAGAGGAGAAAGAGTGTGCTGGGGATAATGGCAAAAAGAGACAGAGAGGTGTGAGATAAATGAAAGAGAGAGAGAGGAAGGAAGATAGATTGTGATACTGTATAGCTTATTCATGGACATATATGAGAGTCACAGTCCTGTTTGGCCTTAGGTTCAAAAGTTGACCATGTCACCTCTGTTGGAGCCGAGGGGTGTTTCTGTCATTGCAGTGTAACAACTGTTGTTCTCATTTGCTGACTTTTGGCAGCATTTGTCTTTGACCATGCCAATAATGTATTTGTAATGGACATGATGCTTTTTCGCCCTGTTCGAAATGATGAGTAGGTCAAAAAAAAGAGCCATGCTGTCGTCGTCACACCACTGTTATTGTCGTATACTAAAGGTCATAAGATTGAGTCAAATGGCATTTCTTACACATATTAACTAATGAGAGATTCATGCATGTTATTAAATGGTCATACTGAGCCAAGCCTGTAAACGGTATAGAGTTCTGAAGAACTGTAGCAATACAGCATTACCTTACCAACTTTGGAAAGAATTAGATAGACCATTGGAAATCTTGATTTTGGCACCTTCTTTTCTTATGAACTATGAGACAATAGAATGCACAATGCAGTGAGGGACAGAAAGGAATCTAACTGGTATGGTATCATAGTTTGGTATCCTAACGGGGAGGGTGGGTTAAAGAGAGTTAGAGGTGGAGTAAACATCAAGAGAGAGAGTAGATTGATGATTGGCCTTGGATGAGGGAGGAGGGGGTATAAAAGGTATGGTTTGGGGATGGTTTGACTATAAAGTATTTCGGAGTTTGAAATATTCACACGGGACATTTGCCTGCTTTACTGGTACAGTATCGATGCTTCTATGTCATGCTTTAGAAATACATTTTTGGGATCAACTGTTTATTCATTTTCAAAACCAGAATCTTTAAAGTTTTGACCTAGCGTTAGGGTTAGTGTTGAGGCTGAAAAAGCAAATTACAGTATTATAATCATGAGTGAGAGTTTGGGTGAGCTGCTGTTGTAACCCAAAATGAATTTCAGTCAACAATCTGAACTGTATGACATCTAATTATGTCATCTTCAGTTTGACTGTCAGTGTTTTCGAAGAGAATCCAACACATACATGCACACAGAAGGCCCATAGTCTAGAGCTCTCAAACTACAATCTGGACCTCGAAGCCAGTTCCACTGCATTTGTTCATTGTTCCCCTCTAATCAGGGACTGATTTAGACCTGGGACACCAGGTGGGTGCAATTCATTATCCGGTAGAACAGAAAAGCAGCAGGCTCCGGACCTCGTAGGGTAAGAGTTGAGTACCCCTGGTCTAGAGGCTATGCAAAGACAACGCAACAACAGGTGGACTTATGGTGCACTGATGCTGGGATGGATATACATCCTGAGAGAACAAGTCAATCTATCAGTCTGCTGCCTCTACATCAAGCTATCTTGTTCAGAGTAGACGGGTGATTAGCTAGTAAAGACTGTGTGGAGGAGCTGATGGGGCTGTATTTTATGGCTGATGTCTATGTGTGGACTGACCATTTTTGACCTGTGGGTATAGAATCCTATGAGGACAAGGTCAATGAAAAGCTATGGGGAAAGGACCTTGGGATTAGTTACTACATAGTTACTACATTGTTGCCGTTGAAAAGATAACATTTAATAGATAATAACATCTGGATTTAATATTTTATTACAGTATTGGCATGTTCAATGTATCAGAGTTGCATGCCGTGTATTATCGAACCCAGTAAACAAACCAAGCTAATGTAATGTATCCTGTTGTTTCTATAGCATGCAATTCCTATCCCCACTACTAGTGACTCTCTAACTAGGCTTTATGGCTGAACGTTTCTATAGCGTTTTGCTGAGTAGACTTGCCATATGTTAGATTAGATTAATGTATTACTGAATTAGTATTATGATGTAAATTAAAACCATATAATTCCCTGTCTTCTTGGCTGCTTCATTGGTTCTGTCTATTACTAACCCACTCTGATTGCTTGGCACAGAAAATACTAGCTTTCCTACTGTAAGCATTTGTAACAGGGCTGGGGTCAATTCGAATTGAAGGCAAATTAGAATTTCAAATTTAAAAAAAGGAAAAACTTTGGGAATAAATAGCTTCTACTCCTCAGTTTATTGAAAAATCCTTGAAAATAGAATTGTTATTTAAGACCCCAGTCCTGATTTGTACTGTTATCCCACTGGCTATAAGGTGAATGCCCCAATTTGTAAGTTGCTCTGGATAAGAGCGTCTGCTAAATGACGTAAATGTAAATGTAAATGTATGTCATGTAACTCCTCAGTCTCCTTCTCTGTCTTCCTCAGATCATGGCTGACTTTGACATGGTTCTGAATTGCTGGGGGCCAGTGGAGGCTGACTACAACACACACGGAGGACTGGTTCTGAGCCGGTCAGTGGACAATATTGGACTGTACTTAGCTCTGGTCCAGGGCGTTACGTTTTGCTTGCTGTTGCTGAGACACAACTGCAAAATGCAGGGAACGCTATGGACCGGAGCCAGACTTCACTGAGTTGGCTAAGAGATGGACTGGAGAATGGTTCTGGCCATAAACTGCTAGACTGCAGACTGTTGTGTTGAATGTAATGCTAAGAAATACACTACTGGTCAAAAGTTTTAGAAGGGTTTTTCTTAATTTTTTACTATTTTCTACATTGTAGAATAATAGTGAAGACATCACAACTATGAAATAACACACATGGAATCATGTAGTAACCAAAAAAGTGTTCAACAAATCAAAATATATTTGAGATTTGAGATTCTTCAAATAGCCACCCTTTGCCTTGATGACAGCTTTGCACACTTGGCATTCTCTCATCCAGCTTCACCTGGAATGCTTTTCCAACAGTCTTGAAGGAGTTCCCACATATACTGAGCACTTGTTGGCTGCTTTTCCTTCACTCTGCGGTCCGACTCATCCCAAACCATCTCAATTTGGTTGAGGTCGGGGGATTGTGGAGGCCAGGTCATCTGATGCAGCACTCCATCACTCTCCTTCTTGGTAAAATAGCCCTTACACAGCCTGGAGGTGTGTTGGGTCATTGTCCTGTTGAAAAACAAATGATAGTCCCACTAATCCCAAACCAGATGGGATGGCGTATCGCTGCAGAATGCTGTGGTAGCCATGCTGGTTAAGTGTGCCTTGAATTCGAAATAAATCACGGACAGTGTCACCAGCAAAGCACCTCCACACCATAACACCTCCTCCTCCATGCTTTACGGTGGGAAATACACATGCAGAGATCATCTGTTCACCCACACCACGTCTCACAAAGACACGGCGGTTGGAACCAAAAATCTCAAATTTGTACTCCAGACCAAAGGACAAATTTCCACCGGTCGAATGTCCATTGCTCGTGTATCTTGGCCCAAGCAAAGTTTCTTGAAATGTTCCGTATTGACTGACCTTCGTGTCTTAAAGTAATGATGGACTGTCATTTCTCTTTGCTTATTTGAGCTGTTCTTGCCATAATATGGACTTGGTCTTTTACCAAATAGGGCTATCTTCTGTATACCCCCCCCCCCCCACCTTGTCACAACACAACGGATTAACAACACAACACAACAAATTAACTTTTAAGAAGGGACACCTGTTACATTGAAATGCATTCCAGGTGACTACCTCATGAAGCTGGTTGAGAGAATGCCAAGAGTGTGCAAAGCTGTCATCAAGGCAAAGGGTGGCTATTTGAAGAATCTCAAATATAAAATACATTTTGATTTGTTGAACACTTTTTTGGTTACTACATGTTTCCATATGTGTTATTTCATAGTTGTGATGTCTTCACTATTATTCTACAATGTAGCAAATAGTAAAAATAAAGAAAAACTCTTGAATGAGTAGGTGTTGTAAAACTTTTGACCGGTAGTGTAGGTTAATGCTATATCTACACATTGGCAATCAGGAATGATTTAAAATGTTCTGTACTGTAGAGGCTCACAGAACTCTCCTTACAAATCTCTCTCTTTCCCTCTCTGTCTCTCCTTGCCTCTAGTCTGTTCACAGAGCACCCAGACACCCTGACGTTGTTCCCTAAGTTCGCAGGCATCGCAGCGGGGGACCTGTCCGGGAACGCGGCGGTAGCTGCCCACGGGGCCACCGTGCTTAAGAAGCTGGGAGAGCTGCTGAAGGCTAAAGGTGACCACGCTGCCATCCTCAAACCCCTGGCAACCACCCACGCCAAGCAGCACAAGATCGCCCTCAACAACTTCAAGGTGAGGGTGGATGATTCCAGTCTCCCTCCCTTCTCTCTTTATCTGAATCTAGCAGTTTTTTCTCCTCTATTCATAAATGTAAATACATTTAATTGTTGCATTCACTCCAGTTTTACCATGACACTGTCATTCTTAGTTTACTAAAATGCTGAGTGAAAAATATACTTCATAAAGTGCTTTTATTCAGTATGAAATTAAACATTATCATCTCTCTTGCTTCTCACCAGCTCATCACCGAGATCATCTGCAAGGTGATGGGTGAGAATGCAGGGCTGGACGGGGCAGGGCAGGAAGCGCTGAGGAAGGTGATGGGCGTGGTCATAGCTGACATCGACGTCACCTACAAGGAGCTGGGCTTCGCTGGCTAAACGGTTTACCTCAACGACCTACGACCCCCACGCCAGGGGTCACAAGAGGTCACACGGAAAGGACAACAACTGGAGACATTTACTGGGAGCTTACACGTGAAGCAGAGTGGTTACTAGTTTATATACAGTACATTCTAAGTGCTGGTTTGCTTGTGACTTGCTGAAAGTACAGGAGGTGTATGGGGCAAAGCTTTTGTGAAAATTCTGCATTTCTCTCTGTACAGTATATTGCCTTAATCTGCCATTTCAATGTAGTTTGCTTACTGAATGGTAACTGTTTCTCATTGCACTAAACCAATAAACGTTCTATCAGCTGCAAATAAGTGCTTAAAATGTCTGTTCTGCCTTTTCTATATATTTTCTTTGGTTAATTTCAAACATTCATCACCCAGTGACATGGACAGATGTATTTTCTGAGGGGGTGGATATGAGTTATTAGGGAGATGAGATTAGTTTCTTCTCATTCCCATTCTATATAGTAAGCTTGATTTGATCTTGTACACATTAACAGCTAAAAGCTGAATTGTGGTATACAGACACAAAGGACAACAAATTAAAATAATTAGATTTAGATATGAGTTCGTTAATGTGGTGTCTGGTTAGGACTGAAGCAAGGACGAAGGGTTGAAGTTACTCATCTGCTCTTGCTCTGTGACAAACCTGTTTATTGCCTCTAGACTGGCTCAAATCCTCACTCTCTCTTGCACACAATTGGCGGGGGGTCTATTCTGGTAGTCACCTCTCCTGCCCTCTATCTTGGATGACTGTCCGGTTTCTGTTGTGCTCCAGTGCAGGTCAGCAAGCGGTCAGTCAGCGATCTATCCCCACCCACTCCTCTCCTCCCTCCCCCTTTGACTAAAACATGTGCATGATCTCTCTTGCACTCTCTCAACACACCTAAGTGCTACTACCTATAGCATGATCACTTAACACACATACACACACACTCACCAGCAGGCACATACACACTAATCCCCACCACCCTGTTTATTTTGGCTCTGTCCTCTCCCTTTCCCATTCCTGCGGTCTTATCGGTCAGTTTGGACGTGACTCTCTCCACAGAGCAGCATCTCAGGCGGGGCTGTCTGTGTTCAGATCACCCCCTCTCAGACCAGACCAGACTGTGCCCGTTAGCTTGGGCGCCATGGTGACGCCATGGAGATTGCCCAGTGCATTCCTCACAGGAAGTGCATGTCTAGAGTGCCCCTGATTGGTTAAACCGCACTAGTGAATGAAATTAATTGTTTCAATAAGCTCAATGCGGATATCTTGAATGACTACAATACACGGAAGAGTTAAGCGTACTAGTGCAAGAAATCAAAGTTGTATTCAAACATATTATGCTTAATTCTGGATTCAGACATTTCTTACTTTGTGATATTGCTTGAATCTACAGTATAAATTAAAATTGACATTTGCCTGGGAGCAAAATTGTAATGGAAAACTTCCTTTCAAACTTTTCCATTGTCTCCAGCCAAATGAAAAGTGGTGTTTTGGCATTAGCCTGGCTGGCTGGCTGGTATTGAGCTGATTGCCAAAGCTGTGGTTAATTGCCCTGCTGAAGGAATGACTATTAATTGGGTGGCTGTGTGTCGGTCACTGCACTGCAGACGTGACAACAGACACTGTGACACCCTCTCATCTGGTGTGACCCGCCTGTCTTTATCTCTCTTTATCCGTCAATATCTCTTTCTTTCTGCTGACCCGTTGCCAAGGACAGCCGGTCTCCACCGACCAGACCACCAGACCGGTTGACCCCAGGCCAGGGGCATTAGTCAAGAGTAAGCAATATGGAAAAACCCACGGGAGACGTGAGTCATTTTATAGGCTACTCATTCTGTAACTATCACGCAGTAAAGCATCCTAACGGGGAGGGTGGGCTAAAGAGAGTTAGAGGTGGAGTAAACATCAAGAGAGAGAGTAGATTGATGATTGGCCTTGGATGAGGGAGGAGGGGGTATAAAAGGTATGGTTTGACTATAAAGTATTTCAGAGTTTGAAATATTCACACGGGACATTTACCTGCTTTACTGGTACAGTATCGATGCTTCTATGTCATGCTTTAGAAATACATTTTTGGGATCAACTGTTTATTCATTTTCAAAACCAGAATCTTTAAAGTTTTGACCTAGCGTTAGGGTTAATGTTGAGGCTGAAAAAGCAAATTACAGTATTATAATCATGAGTGAGAGTTTGGGTGAGCTGCTGTTGTAACCCAAAATGAATTTCAGTCAACAATCTGAACTGTATGACATCTAATTATGTCATCTTCAGTTTGACTGTCAGTGTTTTCGAAGAGAATCCAACACATACATGCACACAGAAGGCCCATAGTCTAGAGCTCTCAAACTACAATCTGGACCTCGAAGCCAGTTCCACTGCATTTGTTCATTGTTCCCCTCTAATCAGGGACTGATTTAGACCTGGGACACAAGGTGGGTGCAATTCATTATCCGGTAGAACAGAAAACCAGCAGGCTCCGGACCTCGTAGGGTAAGAGTTGAATACCCCTGGTCTAGAGGCTATGCAAAGACAACGCAACAACAGGTGGACTTATGGTGCACTGATGCTGGGATGGATATACATCCTGAGAGAACAAGTCAATCTATCAGTCTGCTGCCTCTACATCAAGCTATCTTGTTCAGAGTAGACGGGTGATTAGCTAGTAAAGACTGTGTGGAGGAGCTGATGGGGCTGTATTTTATGGCTGATGTCTATGTGTGGACTGACCATTTTTGACCTGTGGGTATAGAATCCTATGAGGACAAGGTCAATGAAAAGCTATGGGGAAAGGACCTTGGGATTAGTTACTACATAGTTACTACATTGTTGCCGTTGAAAAGATAACATTTAATAGATAATAACATCTGGATTTAATATTTTATTACAGTATTGGCATGTTCAATGTATCAGAGTTGCATGCCGTGTATTATCGAACCCAGTAAACAAACCAAGCTAATGTAATGTATCCTGTTGTTTCTATAGCATGCAATTCCTATCCCCACTACTAGTGACTCTCTAACTAGGCTTTATGGCTGAACGTTTCTATAGCGTTTTGCTGAGTAGACTTGCCATATGTTAGATTAGATTAATGTATTACTGAATTAGTATTATGATGTAAATTAAAACCATATAATTCCCTGTCTTCTTGGCTGCTTCATTGGTTCTGTCTATTACTAACACACTCTGATTGCTTGGCACAGAAAATACTAGCTTTCCTACTGTAAGCATTTGTAACAGGGCTGGGGTCAATTCGAATTGAAGGCAAATTAGAATTTCAAATTTTAAAAAAGGAAAAACTTTGGGAATAAATAGCTTCTACTCCTCAGTTTATTGAAAAATCCTTGAAAATAGAATTGTTATTTAAGACCCCAGTCCTGATTTGTACTGTTATCCCACTGGCTATAAGGTGAATGCACCAATTTGTAAGTCGCTCTGGATAAGAGCGTCTGCTAAATGACGTAAATGTAAATGTAAATGTATGTCATGTAACTCCTCAGTCTCCTTCTCTGTCTTCCTCAGATCATGGCTGACTTTGACATGGTTCTGAATTGCTGGGGGCCAGTGGAGGCTGACTACAAAACACACGGAGGACTGGTTCTGAGCCGGTCAGTGGACAATATTGGACTGTACTTAGCTCTGGTCCAGGGCGTTACGTTTTGCTTGCTGTTGCTGAGACACAACTGCAAAATGCAGGGAACGCTATGGACCGGAGCCAGACTTCACTGAGTTGGCTAAGAGATGGACTGGAGAATGGTTCTGGCCATAAACTGCTAGACTGCAGACTGTTGTGTTGAATGTAATGCTAAGAAATACACTACTGGTCAAAGGTTTTAGAAGGGTTTTTCTTAATTTTTTACTATTTTCTACATTGTAGAATAATAGTGAAGACATCACAACTATGTAGCTCAGCTGCTAGAGTACGGCGCTTGTAACGCCAAGGTAGTGGGTTCGATCCCCGGGACCACCCATACACAAAAATGTATGCACGCATGACTGTAAGTCGCTTTGGATAAAAGCGTCTGCTAAATGGCATATTTATTTATTTATTTATTTTAAATAACACATATGGAATCATGTAGTAACCAAAAAAGTGTTCAACAAATCAAAATATATTTGAGATTTCAGATTCTTCAAATAGCCACCCTTTGCCTTGATGACAGCTTTGCACACTCTTGGCATTCTCTCATCCAGCTTCACCTGGAATGCTTTTCCAACAGTCTTGAAGGAGTTCCCACATATACTGAGCACTTGTTGGCTGCTTTTCCTTCACTCTGCGGTCCGACTCATCCCAAACCATCTCAATTTGGTTGAGGTCGGGGGATTGTGGAGGCCAGGTCATCTGATGCAGCACTCCATCACTTTCCTTCTTGGTAAAATAGCCCTTGCACAGCCTGGAGGTGTGTTGGGTCATTGTCCTGTTGAAAAACAAATGATAGTCCCACTAATCCCAAACCAGATGGGATGGCGTATCGCTGCAGAATGCTGTGGTAGCCATGCTGGTTAAGTGTGCCTTGAATTCGAAATAAATCACGGACAGTGTCACCAGCAAAGCACCTCCACACCATAACACCTCCTCCTCCATGCTTTACGGTGGGAAATACACATGCAGAGATCATCTGTTCACCCACACCACGTCTCACAAAGACACGGCGGTTGGAACCAAAAATCTCAAAATTGTACTCCAGACCAAAGGACAAATTTCCACCAAAGTTCTTGAAATGTTCCGTATTGACTGACCTTTGTGTCTTAAAGTAATGATGGACTGTCATTTCTCTTTGCTTATTTGAGCTGTTCTTGCCATAATATGGACTTGGTCTTTTACCAAATAGGGCTATCTTCTGTATACCCCCCCCCCCCCACCTTGTCACAACACAACGGATTAACAACACAACACAACAAATTAACTTTTAAGAAGGGACACCTGTTACATTGAAATGCATTCCAGGTGACTACCTCATGAAGCTGGTTGAGAGAATGCCAAGAGTGTGCAAAGCTGTCATCAAGGCAAAGGGTGGCTATTTGAAGAATCTCAAATATAAAATACATTTTGATTTGTTGAACACTTTTTTGGTTACTACATGTTTCCATATGTGTTATTTCATAGTTGTGATGTCTTCACTATTATTCTACAATGTAGCAAATAGTAAAAATAAAGAAAAACTCTTGAATGAGTAGGTGTTGTAAAACTTTTGACCGGTAGTGTAGGTTAATGCTATATCTACACATTGGCAATCAGGAATGATTTAAAATGTTCTGTACTGTAGAGGCTCACAGAACTCTCCTTACAAATCTCTCTCTTTCCCTCTCTGTCTCTCCTTGCCTCTAGTCTGTTCACAGAGCACCCAGACACCCTGACGTTGTTCCCTAAGTTCGCAGGCATCGCAGCGGGGGACCTGTCCGGGAACGCGGCGGTAGCTGCCCACGGGGCCACCGTGCTTAAGAAGCTGGGAGAGCTGCTGAAGGCTAAAGGTGACCACGCTGCCATCCTCAAACCCCTGGCAACCACCCACGCCAAGCAGCACAAGATCGCCCTCAACAACTTCAAGGTGAGGGTGGATGATTCCAGTCTCCCTCCCTTCTCTCTTTATCTGAATCTAGCAGTTTTTTCTCCTCTATTCATAAATGTAAATACATTTAATTGTTGCATTCACTCCAGTTTTACCATGACACTGTCATTCTTAGTTTACTAAAATGCTGAGTGAAAAATATCCTTCATAAAGTGCTTTTATTCAGTATGAAATTAAACATTATCATCTCTCTTGCTTCTCACCAGCTCATCACCGAGATCATCTGCAAGGTGATGGGTGAGAATGCAGGGCTGGACGGGGCAGGGCAGGAAGCGCTGAGGAAGGTGATGGGCGTGGTCATAGCTGACATCGACGTCACCTACAAGGAGCTGGGCTTCGCTGGCTAAACGGTTTACCTCAATGACCTACGACCCCCACGCCAGGGGTCACAAGAGGTCACACAGAAAGGACAACAACTGGATACATTTACTGGGAGCTTACACGTGAAGCAGAGTGGTTACTAGTTTATATACAGTACATTCTAAGTGCTGGTTTGCTTGTGACTTTCTGAAAGTACAGGAGGTGTATGGGGCAAAGCTTTTGTGAAAATTCTGCATTTCTCTCTGTACAGTATATTGTCTTAATCTGCCATTTCAATGTAGTTTGCTTACTGAATGGTAACTGTTTCTCATTGCACTAAACCAATAAACGTTCTATCAGCTGCAAATAAGTGCTTAAAATGTCTGTTCTGCCTTTTCTATATATTTTCTTTGGTTAATTTCAAACATTCATCACCCAGTGACATGGACAGATGTATTTTCTGAGGGGGTGGATATGAGTTATTAGGGAGATGAGATTAGTTTCTTCTCATTCCCATTCTATATAGTAAGCTTGATTTGATCTTGTACACATTAACAGCTAAAAGCTGAATTGTGGTATACAGACAAAAAGGACAACAAATTGAAATAATTAGATTTAGATATGAGTTTGTTAATGTGGTGTCTGGTTAGGACTGAAGCAAGGACGAAGGGTTGAAGTTACTCATCTGCTCTTGCTCTGTGACAAACCTGTTTATTGCCTCTAGACTGGCTCAAATCCTCACTCTCTCTTGCACACAATTGGCGGGGGGTCTATTCACCTCTCCTGCCCTCTATCTTGGATGACTGTCCGGTTTCTGCTGTGCTCCAGTGCAGGTCAGCAAGCGGTCAGTCAGCGATCTATCCCCACCCACTCCTCTCCTCCCTCCCCCTTTGACTAAAACACGTGCATGATCTCTCTTGCACTCTCTCAACACACCTAAGTGCTACTACCTATAGCATGATCACTTAACACACATACACACACACTCACCAGCAGGCACATACACACTAATCCCCACCACCCTGCTTATTTTGGCTCTGTCCTCTCCCTTTCCCATTCCTGCGGTCTTATCGGTCAGTGTGGACGTGACTCTCTCCACAGAGCAGCATCTCAGGCGGGGCTGTCTGTGTTCAGATCACCCCCTCTCAGACCAGACCAGACTGTGCCCGTTAGCTTGGGCGCCATGGTGACGCCATAGAGATTGCCCAGTGCATTCCTCACAGGAAGTGCATGTCTAGAGTGCCCCTGATTGGTTAAACCGCAATAGTGAATGAAATTAATTGTTTCAATAAGCTCAATGCGGATATCTTGAATGACTACAATACACGGAAGAGTTAAGCGTACTAGTGCAATAACTCAAAGTTGTATTTAAACATATTATACTTAATAATGGATTCAGACATTTCTTACTTTGTGATGTTGCTTGAATCTACAGTATAAATTAAAATTGACATTTGCCTAGGAGCAAAATTGTAATGGAAAACTTCCTTTCAAACTTTTCCATTGTCTCCAGTCAAATGAAAAGTGGTGTTTTGGCATTAGCCTGGCTGGCTGGCTGGTATTGAGCTGATTGCCAACGCTGTGGTTAATTGCCCTGCTGAAGGAATGACTATTAATAGGGTGGCTGTGTGTCAGTCACTGCACTGCAGACGTGACAACAGACACTGTGACACCCTCTCATCTGGTGTGACCCGCCTGTCTTTATCTCTCTTTATCCGTCAATATCTCTTTCTTTCTGCTGACCCGTTGCCAAGGACAGCCGGTCTCCACCGACCAGACCACCGGACCGGTTGACCCCAGGCCAGGGGCATTAGTCAAGAGTAAGCAATATGGAAAAACCCACGGGAGACGTGTCATTTTATAGGCTACTCATTCTGTAACTATCACGCAGTAAAGCATCCATTGGGCTCAGGTGCTCCCCATAGGTTATGGTGAATTCAATATCCACCTACAAACTGATTGATGTGCCAAATATAATTTTATTTTTCAAACATAGTGCACATGACTGACCACTAGCCTAGGTGTCCAGGCTCCCTTGTCCTCCCAGTGTTGGGTCTTATGGTGTCCAACAGCAGTATCTATCAGTGAGGAAACAGGAAACCTCTCATGGGGTCCAACAGCAGTATCTATCAGTGAGGAAACAGGAAACCTCTTTAATCAGCATTAACACAGTGGATCCCAAACCTGTTTTTGTCCCCAATATTTTCTAACCAGGACCAAGTCTCAAGCAGATCCCAACCTATAATTTTTCTGAACATTCCACAAAATGTATCCATCAACACTTTTTATGGATAACAGATTATGGTTCACATGGCGACAGCCAGGGGTGCAGGTTATTATTTTGCCAAGCCCTGATCAGAGAGGAGGATACGTGTGCATCCTAGTGTCTCCCCCTGAGCCTCTGTCAGTGGTCACCTCACCACCCAGATACTTATTACATACTGAATCATTTAGCAGTGTGACAGTGTGTGTGTATGTCTACATGTGGCAGACTGTGTGTGTTTCACTGTGCAGACATCGCCATTTGAGATGGCAGAATGCAAAACCCTTTTGAAATGCAGTATTAATTTTGTCATGTTCTACATTGCAGAAAATATTTGGCAACAGGTCACTCAGTCTCTAGAGCCAACAATGGCCGACACAGGTCATCAAGATGCTTGAAGCAGTCACGACACAACATACACACTCAATCACCCTTAGGAGCAGTAGAGAACTGGGGTAAAGAGCAAGAGGAAGACACACCAACGAGATGGACAGACACCTGAAGAGACGAAAGGGAGGAAACGATGAGGGGAGGCTGTATATCCCACTCGGCACCAACTGGTTGTTTCCAATACAACAAAATAAATTTGATGACGTTGAATCAATGTGGAAAACGTATTGGATTTGCAATAAAAGTCTTCACTGTAAAGGGATTTTGGGAATGTTAATTCTTTTTTACCCAACTTTCAACCTAAATCCAATGACATGGTTCAAATGTGTTTATTTCACATTTAATTCATGTTAGTTGAAAACTCATCAAATGATGTTGAACTGACATCTTTGTCCAGTGGGATAGCACACTGGAGATCTTCAACCAAGGGTTATCAAAATACCTGTTGTGAACATGGAGGGGGTGTGAACTTGGAGTTTAGGGATAGAGGAAACAGGTGGGAGGAGGGAGACGGGTCGGAGTGAGGAGGTCCGAGTCTTCAAACAGCTGGTTCACAATTAAAGAGGTTTAACAAGATCTTAAGCACTTACAAATGTGTAACATTGTACAAAATATGTTATATTTATTTTGCATACGAAATGGTTGACGTTATACACAATGGTGCACAATTTTCATGGACCCGTTTCGGCTTGTGAGCACTACTTTCAAAACTACTGGCTGAAATTATACAAAACCTTTATAACGCATCTTTAAGATTGTATCTACTAGCTAAGCCGTTTATTTCTCACATAGGTCAAAGAAACACTACATAATGAAAGATAAGGGGATATCAATTGCATGGTTCAATTTCATCACCATGTTATCACAAGTTTCTATAGCGCAGCCAGAAAGCACTTTCGAGGCATTGAACCAATGTCTTTCGTCAGGCTGCAGGCACTCCACCTAGTGTCAGTATATTGACACAGCAACAAGTGACATTCTAAAAAGTACGGTTAGTGTGTAATCTCAAATGTATTTACTAAGATACCAGACACTTTCTTCACAAATTAGATCAAAGCAGATATATTTGTAAATGGCTAAAAGCTTACAATGTGAACAAAACAAGAAAATATGTATTTAAAAAGGTACTATGTGCATGGTAAACATACTGTATGTACAAACAAAATTAAAACAATATGACACGCAGTCCACTCTATATAAACCTCTTACATTTATCTGTTTTAGAGACCGCAATAGCTATTGAGCACAAGTAACAGTCCATGTAAGTACCTGGTCAACCAGTCTTGGCTGGTCCAGGTGGTGATGTTCTGGACTGGGTTAAAGATCACTCAAAGTTCTGCTGATCAATGTCAGAGGGCACAGTGCAGCGGGTGAAGGTGGACAGGTAGAGACCAGTTGCCATGGGGACAAGACCGGCCGCTACCTTGAGAATGGCCAGTAAACGGTGTGCTGCCGTGGTCACCCCCTCTGTCGTCTGAGTGGAGAAAAAAAGGAAATTAGAGGAAATAAATAAGAATGGAAAACAACAACAAAAGCTTCATAAAATAACAGAATGACACACTTCTAAAAGATAATATGAGTTTGTATTACCTGTCAGTCTATTCATAACACAGGTTTCATGAAATAGACTAAATATAAACTAATATAGTGTTTTACCTATCAATCACGTCTATGCATTGACTTATACCTGATCCTCTGCACACAGTAAGGGGCAGTGGAGGGATGCAGCCAGCTTCCTCACAGAGACCAGTCGCTCAGGGGGCACTGATGCATTACGAGCTGGAGGAGGAGACACAGACACACCACAGACACACAGAGGAAGATAGCACTCTTTAAACATAATGAGAGGATGATAGAATGTGATAAGTGTTGATGAAAGATGTATAACGGAGAAGGATAGACAGGCGAGTCCATTTCCTTACCATTGGTAACCAGGAAGCAGACTTTGCCCAGGAAGTAACCTGGGTCTAAATACTTGAGGGAGGTCTCTGCTGACTGGAAGCTGAGGAGAGAGAAAAGCAGTAGCATTACCACTGGAAGAAGAGGCCAGTAAAGTCACATCAGTCATGGGGTCCATCTCCCTATGGATGGTCCCTATTGTCTGTATGTGAATGTACCTGAGCTCTGAGGTTAGGTGAATGATGAAAACCACCAGATCTATCCGCGGCCGAGACTCCTCGTTTTCCATGGGTAGTGGGAGGCTTCTAGCCAACCTTCTGGTACAGAAAGAAGAAGATGACAATGTTAGACGGTTGTGACTAGATGGTATACAGCTACTTCTGTCGAGTGACTTTTCGTAGCAGGTTAGGAGAGCATTTTAGCTAACCCTAACCCGCTACGAAAAGTCACTTCTGTCCGTAGTTGTATACCATCTAGTCAAGACCCCTACCTAGCTCGCTAGTTGGGAACTCAATTCAGTACTTACACATTGACGTTGACATTCTTCTCATGAAGCACAACAGTGTCAGCTAACTTCTGCTGAAATTGCTCTTCATTCTCTACCAGCTGAAACAAGAAACACATTAATTGAGTAACAACGGGTGAGTTAGTGGTGTTATTATGATGTATCAGCTAACTAACTAAACATAGATACAAATATTGAATTCTGTGCATGTAAATGTATCAATAATCTGGATAGCAGTAATGTCACAATTGGTTTAGTGATAAGAATCGTTGGTAATTAATTGTTAAGTTTGCTAGCTAGCTACCTAGGGCTAACGTTACTTACAGGACCACTTACCAGTATGTTGGCTGTGTTTAGTCCAGGAAGTTTACTAAATGGTTTGAGTAAAGACATTTTACATCCAACATGCAAAAAAGAGAAGTAAAATTGTGTTAAAAAGCGTTCAACAATGCAGTCGCTAACTAGCGACACTTCATAGACATCTCCAATGTTACGGTTGAAGAAAATAATTTTCAGCCATGACTTTTGTGGCGCGTAATTTCAAACTTCCGTTAAACTTCATGACGTCTTCAATTCTTCTTCTGCTGCCATTTTCTTCAAAGGAGCATGACTGCCATCTATTGTCTAAAAAGTGTAACTATATAAATATAATCCTGCTGCTACCTCCACTTTGCACAATAACTTCGACGTCTTTGATAAACACTACATTAAAGCTAGAAACCATAGTTGCTACATCAATTTTTGGACTTAGAAATGAATATATACCCATTGATTCAGAATTTAACTTATAAATGCCTCATGAGCTTAGTTCAACTGTCATACCCCATCAGAACCCAAGTATAAGCGTGTTATACTCCAATGTTTATAACAAAATGTAAACACTGTATAACCTCAAAATATTGTTAACACTATAATTGTTTATATCATGGATGGTCAGTCCTTGCATCCATAGCACTGTCTAAGAATTTGAGGTTAAATTTCTCCAGGCCCATCCCTCAGCTTTTTACCAAAACACAGGCGCTTTGTTGTTTCAACTAAGGATTCAAACATTAAGAATGGACAGGAAACATGAGTCACAATGGAAGCAGGACTTTTATTAACTTTGTAGTAGATGGCACAGCAAGGTAGATTCCCCAAAACATCCACCTTGTCTCACAGCAAAAGGACTGTGTGTGTCTGCTCATGGGTTTCTGCTGAAGTGTGTGTGTCTGTTCATGGGTTTCTGCTGAATACCAGTAAAGTAACAGTATGTAAAATGCTTGTGTACGTTGTCAATCATATTGAATTCTACATGTCCGTATCAGTGCGAAGAGTCTTAAGTGGTACTCTTTATCTTTCAAAGGATGTGGTTGTTCGTCACTGTATTTTTTATGTTTGTGTATAAATCTAAGTTATACACGCTATACACGCTCCTCCATGTGAAACCGATCTTTGGATCCCTGTTGGAACCCAGAAAACGACAACAGCATCAACATTGTAGATCATATGATGGTAAAAACAGAACAGCATTTCTAAAATAAAATAAGGTTTAAATGGGCAGAACTTCCATCTCTCTCCTCTACTACCCCCGTCCCAATTATTACATGAAATAAAGTGTTGCTCCCAGGCCAACTTCCTTCCTTTCGTTCAAGGTCTTTCCCATTCATCCCAATTGAAAGCCCCACCAACTATCTTCGCATGCTACTTCTTCCCATCCTGACCTCTTATCCTGATTTCCTTGTCCCAATTTGTCCTCGCCGCCCCCCCTCCCAATTTATATGTCCCACTTCAACATGAATGAACACACATACTCACACACACCCTCCCAGCCAGTCCCAATTCACTCCCTCCCACCTAGCCCTAAACCTTCGATGATTGCTGATCTGAAAGGTCTGGATAGGTATAAGCAGTGTAGCTTCCACTTCCACCATATTGCTTCCATCTTCTAGATCTGCAAACATCTAAGAGTTATGGCTGAGGTGAAGGGGTAAGGAGCCCATTAGAACCGGCTGTTGCTCAATCTTTCTAAACCCCCCTCTGCTCTAACATGACCTCGGATGTCCCCCTCTATATCATATCTCCCCCGACTCCCTCTCTCCGTCTGAGCTGGAACGTCTATCCCTCTCTAGCGACAGAGATCTCTCTCTTTCTCTCCCCCTGGCCATCATCTCTGGAGAGGTGGACCTCTCCCTGTCTTCCCTGGTCATGGGCTCGGGCCTGTCGTCTTGCTCCCGGGAGCGGGGTGGTCCCTCTCCTCCGCTCTCCCTCCATCTCTCCTGGGACGGGGAGCGCCCTGAGGGTGAACGGCCAGACGGAGAGCGCTGAGACGGGGAGCGGGGTTCTCGGTCTCGGGTGTGTGAGGATCTGTCCCTGGAAGACCTGGGTAGAAGGAAACAGATCAGGCATTGGTACAAAGATCAAGCACCTGATGACAGACAAACAAAATCAACCCAAACAATCTGTTGGGAAAGAGCTGGGTCGTGTTCATTAGGGCACAGCGTAGCAAAACATTTTGCCACAGAAAAAGAAAACACTGTTTGTTGTTGTTCAGGTAACCTGGTAAAATAAAGGTAAATTAAAGGTAGTACCTCCCCGTTTCATTCAGTTTTCTTCTAGTTGCCGCCTGATTTTAGTGTGACATAATGGCTATGTGCCATTTTCTAAGTATCAAGTCAGTGTTCCTGTCTGTCTGCTCAGGCCTCACCTCTTCCTCTTGCTCCTGTGAGAGTGGGAGCTCGAGCGATGCCTGTCCTTGTGTCTATGCTTACGTTCCCTTTCCCTGTCCCGCTCTCCTCCTCCCTCCTCCCGGGGGCGAGAGGAGCGGTGTCGTCTCGAGCGATGGGAGGATGAGCTGCCTCCCTCCCGGTATCGTTCACCGCTTCTTGATCTTGACCTGTAAAAAAAATACATAAAAGTGGATTGTTAAAATACAAGAGAATGAGCATTTCAAAGCATTTGTTTGATGTCTGAACTGAAGATGGGAACAAGTCAGATTTAGATCACCTCCGGCGTTCTCTCTCTCCCCTCTCTCTTTCTCTTTCTCTCTCCCTCTCCCGTACACGTTCGGTTTCACGCTCTCGCTCCTTTTCCCTCTCTCGTTCTCGCTCCAGCTCCCACTCCTTCGCTCTCTCTTCCTCCTTTTCACGCTCCTCCCTTCTTCTCATTCGCATTCCTTCTTGCTTCTCCACAACTGCTTTCTGTAGCAGGAAAAAACAACAACATGTAATCCATAGCAACAACTGTACTCAGACAGCTCAGGTTTACACTTCCTGAAAAGCAATGTAAACGTCTACATAACTAGTGATATCCTACTAGGTTCTGACTACTGTTATGTGTGTGTCTCACCCGTAGCTTTTCCAGCTTCTCCCGGATCTCAATGAATCCCAGATGCAGTTTACCTCCGAAGTGGTCGGCCAGGCGGCGGTCGTTGTCATGGAGACCTAGGTAGGCGGAGCACACCTCGCACACCCGGAGCTTCTGCTGCTGGAAGCTGGACGCCGGCATCGAGTTTCTGTATACGTCCTGGGAGAAAGCAACAGTACACCAGACTGATTTTAGAACTAGGACACACCGCACAGTTCTTAGTGAGTATGCTGCTGTGTTGATGACTAATGTTAATATTAGGACATAGTACACAAATGCCTGCCACACTTTCAAATGACTGATGACTGACTGTTTTGATATATTTTGAGTTGCACACATGAAATTCCTCATATACCTGTCTGTTAAAAACATCTAAGAGGCTTTGCTGAAACAGGTTTGTATATTTCAACAAAAAACGAGTTGTTAATCTTTATTTAATCCCAGTACAAATCAGAGCTGCTATGATTGGTTGTGACCACATGTCGGGTATCTCCTTGACCCCCTGTCCACTGACCTCTGCCTCTTTCTTCATTGCGCGAGTCTTCTCCACCTTCTCCAGGACCTCCTGTGCCTCTTCCACATTACCCCTCGCCCCCCAGCTGCTCCGCCCGGGCCAGCAGCTTACCGATCTCCTCGTTCAGCTCGTGGACCCGCTCAGCCTGTTGATTCCAGAGAGAAAGTGTTAGAATTATGACACGGTGACAACCAGAGCAACAAAGTGACAGGCAATCACATTATTTATATTATTATTAATTAGTTTCTTATACATGGTTGAAATGTCATTTTTTGAAATGTCAGCTACATTCATCTAGAAAAACAACACATACCATGGAATCGAATTCCAACTATAAAGTGTTAATTCACCTAATGACCATGTGGGGAACTATCTAAGTAAGACAAAGAACAGGGGTCGGTCACCTTGGCGGCGACCTCAGCGCTGATCTCATCCTGCGTCTCAGCCAGTCTCTTCTTAGCTAGCTCAGTCCTGCGGTCACAGTCAGCGATGAACGACTGAAGGTGCTCAGCAGCCTGCGGTGAGAGGGGATGACGAGGAGAGGGTTAAACATCGCCAGATCTGAGAGGAAAAATAGATATCACATGGAGCAAGACATAAAACAGAAGGAAAGAAAAAGAGGGAGCGAAAAAGAGAGAAAGAAAGAGAGAGAAAGAAAGAGACAATCCATTGATCAACAGATCACATGGAGCTTGCATGCAGAGGAAACAAAATGTGTGTGTGCTAAACATGTATACTAGGTACGTGACACTCCAAAGTAACTCACGTCAAGCTCAAAGAAGTACTCCTGTTGTTTGGAGGCGATCTCGAAGTCAGCCCTGAGGGCCAGGTCGTGGACCTTCACACACTCTCCCAGGTCCATTCTCTGTACGACAACAACAAGAAACATCAATTACATCAATCACTCAAAGATGTACCTACAAGTCCTGTACCCAGGAGAGCAATTTACATTGTGTTCTATATCGCTACTACACAAGACCATTGTGACTCAGACAGCGTTTCCCAAACTAGGGGTCGCGACCCCATGTGGGGTCACCTGATTTGAAAATGGGGTAGTGAGAGAACTCCGAAATGAAATAAATACAAATCGGGCTTGGTTTCATATAACCAGGGTTACAGAGCGGTTTCTGTTTTCTTCCTACAAATGTTGCTCCATCTTTAGAACCGTTTGAGCTACAAAATATTATGATCCCATCACTGAAAGATAAGACTCTCAGGAACACGTATGCTTCCTCTGTTTCCCTCTACAATGGCAGGACACATTAGAACAGAGTGGACAAGCCCAGGCACTAAATCAGACTGGGGGAAAAAGATAATCAATGATGATGTTCTTTTCTACACAGAAGATCATACAAAATGATTGCCTGATGATTTTCTGAACTTCCCAATACTTCGAACCATACTTTCTTCATATTTAAATACTGTCAAAAGTACTGATTTGTAATAGACTGTCTAAGCACCAATTTAAAAAGTTTAACATTGGCCGTTGATTATGTCACTTTCTTCCACATGATGGGGTCGGGGAATTTTTATATTTATAAAAATAGGGTCGCGCCCCAAAAAAGTTTGAGATCCCCTGGACTAAGTAATATGTCATGTACTCACAGTGCCGGAGAGAATGTCGTGAGGACAGGAGTCCAGCAAATGACTCTTGCAGACCCGCTCATCTGTAAATTTGATTCTCTGGCGCATGGAGTCCCCTACACGAAAATAAATCAGACAAGGGGAGAGAGTTGGTGAGTTGAGCAAAGTCATGTAAATCTCAAGAAACAATAGCTGTGTGCATACCAGACACCTTTATTATCCAAAATTCTGATTACGGTGGGTGCGGATGCCCATGTGGATCATTCATTCCTGAAACAAAAACTAGCTTAGCTTGCTACAGTACATCTAGCTATCTGTCCAACGTTACCTGCAGCCAGTCAGTAATAGCATCTCGTGGGCCAGCAATATCCCAGCTAGCACACGTCAACAATGTGACAAGGTATGAAACGGAATGTTCCTTGTGTTTACTTTACTGTGAACACAACAAGTAGCTAGCTGGCGTTAGCGTTCAGCCATTGGTCCCCAGGCTAAGGTAGCTTAGCTAGCTAACGTCAGCTAGCATGATAACAACTAGTTAGAAACATTTCCTCTGAAACAATGTAGCTTGTCGTTTACTCACCATCTCTACTTGTGCCCATCAACTGGTCCAACATTGCTCGCATTTGCGCTTGGGCCGACATGTTTGTTGTTTATGTCACCGACACTACACGCCGATGGTGTCTACTGCATGCAGCCTCGACCACAGGCCTCTGACGGCTCGTGGACGTCGAACAACTTTTCTCAGAGAATCTCAAGTTCTCGTGACGAATATTTGAAACAAACTAGCTCGCTAAAACCTTTTCTTGAGACCTTCCACCACCTTAACGTTTATAGTTATCAAGTTTGTAATACCAATTTACAATGTAAATATTAGGTAGCTAAACCTATTCCGAAATTTATCTCGTCCCCGTTCGTCTTTCAACTCGAAGTATGGCGAGGGGACAGTTATGCTGAGTAGCGGGTGGTGTAATTTCAAATTCGGATTATTGAGGTAAACCCGAAGGTTTTTAGGTAGTTGTGAGACCAACCACTGTCCCTTGTTAGACCGTAAATCTCATTGACATATTCCTCATATTCTAACGTATTTATTAATTCGGTGTCCTATATTTTTCGACTTCCTCCTCTTTCCGAGCACGCTCTGCCTCGAAGGAAATGCTGCAGTCCTCGCGCGCTGGTTGGCTGAATGGCACATAACGTCATTTGCTTCTATTTCTTCTTCTGTGGATTTTATATGGCGGTTGTGACGTCATTTTGATCGCTCTGTCTTCAGATAACGTACACACATATGAATGCACATAAACCTGATAGGCTAGTGTGTAAATAAATAAAACAAGTCTGGAATTATCTATTCTATATTTGACTGTTCATACATTGTGCATTACATGTATTTATTCATGTTATGTTGTTTGATCTTTGATGTTGTCATAAAATGCGGATAGACTTACGCCCCGAACCCACCCATAAACAATGCCGTCCCGCCCACCCCACCCCAAACTGGAAAAATGGCGACAGCTGTCCTGTGGCTCTCTCGGAACCTCGTATCGAGGAATACGGGGGTAGTAAGCCGTAACACCGTCTTGAAACCGTCTAACACAACGAGACTGAACCAATGTCGAAATGCGGTATCAACAGCAAATGGCGGTGTTCAACCAAAGCCGGATAAAGTGAGTTTTCATGCGTGGCTAAGCCTGTTGGTAACCCTACACATAATGTGGGCGGTTCCTGACTCTTGGAGCAGATTGACAGCAGTCTTTGCCAATCAGAGCTTAAGGAATTTGGAGAGACAACTGTGGGAGCCAATGAGCTTGTGTGTGTTTGATACGGAAGTAATTAGTCATTATTTTAGCCACCTTTCGTCGAAAAATTATATTAAAAAGCTCATGTAACCATTTTATGTAATAAGGCATTGGCTTACACATTGGCTTCTCATCCAGTGTAACATATTAACACAACTACAGATACCATGGGGTATTGGAGTGTCCATTTTTAGGTCAAAGTCCATATCAATTGAATTAGCCTGTTTGTGGGAAATAAAACATTTCATATCCATAATGTATTCAATTATGAGTATGGCCCCAGAGCATCTGCATTTATTATGTGAATCAAGTTAATTGATGAGGAATTCTGCATTCTGAAAAATCCCATGTTGTCTTATCTGAGGCTTTGAACTGTATACTGTGCATGTTGCTTGATGTGGTCATCTTCCTGTATGATATTAGCAATGTTAATTAATGTAGGAACCTGTTTCAGATTGTAGATATTCTGAATTTCTTTCTTTCCCCCCCTATCACCCAGATATCCTTCGGTCTTATCCGCATGACCGCTGTAGTGATTCCCTTCCTGTACGTGGGAACTCTGATCAGCAAGAACTTTGCGGCTCTACTTGAGGAGCATGACATCTTCGTCCCAGAGGATGATGACGATGACGACTGAACCAAGGTCAGTGATGACGACTGAACCTAGGTCAGGGATGACGACTGAACCTAGGTCAGGGATGACGACTGAACCTAGGTCAGGGATGACGACTGAACCTAGGTCAGTGACGAAAATAGATGTATTGATACAGCTATTGATGTGTAAAAGGCTAATATCATTACTAGTCCCAGGGTGACACACACAGGCTAACCTACAATAAAGCATCTCTTTCATATACATTTGTCCCTAACAGCAGTTTAGAGTGCATGCATGCAACATATTGTTATTTACAGTGAGGGAAAAAAGTATTTGATCCCCTGCAGATTTTGTACGTTTGCCCACTGACAAAGAAATGATCAGTCTATAATTTTAACGGTAGGTTTATTTGAACAGTGAGAGACAGAATAACAACAACAAAATCCAGAAAAATGCATGTCAAAAATGTTATAAATTGATTTGCATTTTTATGAGGGAAATAAGTATTTGACCCCTCTGCAAAACATTACTTAGTACTTGGTGGCAAAACCCTTATTGGCAATCACAGAGGTCAGATGTTTCTTGTAGTTGGCCACCAGGTTTGCACACATCTCAGGAGGGATTTTGTCCCACTCCTCTTTGCAGATCTTCTCCAAGTCATTAAGGTTTCGAGGCTGACGTTTGGCAACTCGAACCTTCAGCTCCCTCCACAGATTTTCTATGGGATTAAGGTCTGGAGACTGGCTAGGCCACTCCAGGACCTTAATGTGCTGCTTCTTGAGCCACTCCTTTGTTGCTTTGGCTGTGTGTTTTGGGTCATTGTCATGCTGGAATACCCATCCACGACCCGTTTTCAATGCCCTGGCTGAGGGAAGGAGGTTCTCACCCAAGATTTGATGGTACATGGCCCCGTCCATCGTCCCTTTGATGCGGCGAAGTTGTCCTGTCCCCTTAGCAGAAAAACACCCCCAAAGCATAATGTTTCCACCTCCATGTTTGACGGTGGGGATGGTGTTCTTGGGGTCATAGGCAGCATTCCTCCTCCTCCAAACATGGCGAGTTGAGTTGATGCCAAAGAGCTCGATTTTGGTCTCATCTGACCACAACACTTTCACCCAGTTCTCCTCTGAATCATTCAGATGTTCAATGGCAAACTTCAGATGGGCATGTATATGTGCTTTCTTGAGCAGGGGGACCTTGCGGGTGCTGCAGGATTTCAGTCCTTCACGGCGTAGTGTGTTACCAATTGTTTTCTTGGTGACTATGGTCCCAGCTGCCTTGAGATCATTGACAAGATCCTCCTGTGTAGTTCTGGGCTGATTCCTCACTGTTCTCATGATCATTGCAACTCCACGAGGTGAGATCTTGCATGGAGCCCCAGGCCGAGGGAGATTGACAGTTCTTTTGTGTTTCTTCCATTTTGCGAATAATTGCACCAACTGTTGTCACCTTCTCACCAAGCTGCTTGGCGATGGTCTTGTAGCCCATTCCAGCCTTGTGTAGGTCTACAATCTTGTCCAAGACATTCTTGGAGAGCTCTTTGGTCTTGGCCATGGTGGAGAGTTTGGAATCTGATTGATTGATTGCTTCTGTGGACAGGTATATTTTATACAGGTAACAAGTTGAGATTAGGAGCACTCCCTTTAAGAGTGTGCTCCTAATCTAGGCTCGTTACCTGTATAAAAGACACCTGGGAGCCAGAAATCTTTCTGATTGAGAGGGGGTCAAATACTTATTTCACTCATTAAAATGCAAATCAATTAATAACATTTTTTATGTGTTTTTCTTGATTTCTGTTGTTGTTATTCTGTCTCTCACTGTTCAAATAAACCTACCATTAAAATTATAGACTGATCATTTCTTTGTCAGTGGGCAAACGTACAAAATCAGCAGGGGATCAAATACTTTTTTCGCTCACTGTACATAATGGTATGTACCTAATCCAAACAGTCATGTTGGAACATGTTGAAATAGTAACAATGATTATCTAAAAGAGAATGAAGAGAAAAATACTAACAACTGTGAAAATGAATGACCATTGACATTGCTTTCATTTCCATTCCTTCCCAGGGTGCTTTGCAATAATGATGGCATGCCAATATGAGGAAGGAGAGAGAGATGCCCCCCTACAGGAAAAGATCGCCTTTGACCTCATATCATGATGCACCTCTCCATCGCCTTTTCTCTCTCTCTCTCTTCCCTTTTAGTCCCACTTTCACCTCCTTGCCATGGATTACTACATATTATTTTATATCATTGGGAGGTCACAGCACAGTCAGACTTCACTCTTGCTTGCATGTGTCTTATTATTTACACAATAAAAAGTCTACGTGTGTAAAAAAAAAAAACACACCTGTTGATGTATGTTCTTTGGTGTTATTTTCGTGATTGACAGGGACATTCTATAAAACATGCTTTCTTTGGTCTTATAACTCCAACCACAGCCTAGCCTGGAATCCAGATTGATGTGCTCTATTTCACCACTGAGCATATCAGTTTGGAGAATTCCAGGCTAACCACAGCCAGCCATAACGAAGAACCAACATTGTGCTATTGTATGGCTTCTTGGTTCTTCACAGCAGGTATCCAACTATCCATCCACCAACTCTGTTATCTCTTCCCCCTTCCTGTGTTGGCCAGTCTCAGGTGTCCTTTCCCCCTTCCTGCAGTGCTGCGTTAGCCAGTCGGAGGTGCTCCCTGAGGTCCCTGATATCCAGCTCACTGCGACCTTTCATCCCAATCAGCTCCACATACACCTCCTTGTAGCGGTCACACAAACTCTGCTTCTCCTAGAGGGGGGGGTCATAGACCAACACAGAGGAGACCAGTAGAGTGAGGTTTCTTATCCATATTCTGTTATGTGTGTGAGTATATGTAAGCACATGTTGTTTGAATGGTTGGTCTGGAGTGGAACAGCAGAAACGGCACATGCAAGTACCTTAGGACAAGACAATAAGAGGGAGATTTTACTGAAGATTAATATTTGTGTTTACAGTGGGGGAAAAAAAGTATTTAGTCAGCCACCAATTGTGCAAGTTCTCCCACTTAAAAAGATGAGAGATGCCTGTAATTTTCATCATAGGTACACGTCAACTATGACAGACAAATTGAGAGAGAAAACATCCAGAAAATCACATTGTAGGATTTTTAATGCATTTATTTGCAAATTATGGTGGAAAATAAGTATTTGGTCACCTACAAACAAGCAAGATTTCTGGCTCTCACAGACCTGTAACTTCTTCTTTAAGAGGCTCCTCTGTCCTCCACTCGTTACCTGTATTAATGGCACCTGTTTGAACTTGTTATCAGTATAAAAGACACCTGTCCACAACCTCAAACAGTCACACTCCAAACTCCACTATGGCCAAGACCAAAGAGCTGCCAAAGGACACCAGAAACAAAATTGTAGACCTGCACCAGGCTGGGAAGACTGAATCTGCAATAGGTAAGCAGCTTGGTTTGAAGAAATCAACTGTGGGAGCAATTATTAGGAAATGGAAGACATACAAGACCACTGAAAATCTCCCTCGATCTTGGCTCCACGCAAGATCTCACCCCGTGGGGTCAAAATGATCACAAGAACGGTGAGCAAAAATCCCAGAACCACACGGGGGGACCTAGTGAATGACCTGCAGAGAGCTGGGACCAAAGTAACAAAGCCTACCATCAGTAACACACTACGCCGCCAGGGACTCAAATCCTGCAGTGCCAGACGTGTCCCCCTGCTTAAGCCAGGACATGTCCAGGCCCGTCTGAAGTTTGCTAGAGTGCTTTTGGATGATCCAGAAGAGGATTGGGAGAATGTGATATGGTCAGGTGAAACCAAAATAGAACTTTTTGGTAAAAACTCAACTCGTCGTGTTTGGAGGACAAAGAATGCTGAGTTGCATCCAAAGAACACCATACCTACTGTGAAGCATGTGGGTGGAAACATCATGCTTTGGGGCTGTTTTTCTGCAAAGGGACCAGGACGACTGATCTGTGTAAAGGAAAGAATGAATGGGGCCATGTATCGTGAGATTTTGAGTGAAAACCTCCTTCCATCAGCAAGGGCATTGAAGATGAAACGTGGCTGAGTCTTTCAGCATGACAATGATCCCAAACACACCGCCCGGGCAACGAAGGAGTGGCTTCGTAAGAAGCATTTCAAGGTCCTGGAGTGGCCTAGCCAGTCTCCAGATCTCAACCCCATAGAAAATCTTTGGAGGGAGTTGAAAGTCCGTGTTGCCCAGCGACAGCCCCAAAACATCACTGCTCTAGAGGAGATCTGCATGGAGGAATGGGCCAAAATACCAGCAACAGTGTGTGAAAACCTTGTGAAGACTTACAGAAAACGTTTGACCTGTGTCATTGCCAACAAAGGGTATATAACAAAGTATTGAGAAACTTTTGTTATTGACCAAATACTTATTTTCCACCATAATTTGCAAATAATTTCATTAGAAATCCTACAATGTGATTTTCTGGAATTTTTTTCCTCATTTTGTCTGTCATAGTTGACGTGTACCTATGATGAAAATTACAGGCCTCTCTCATCTTTTTAAGTGGGAGAACTTGCACAATTGGTGGCTGACTAAATACTTTTTTCCCCCACTGTGTGGTGTGTTATCAGGATTTTGTAAGGGTTAATCATGTGGATACAGAATATACCAGCGGTACCTTAGTTAGAGACTGCAGTTCATTCCTTAGACAGCCAATCTCTTTTTGTAGGTACTCAGCCTCAATCTCCTTTGCTCGTAGCAGCATCTGGAGGGCAACACGGATACATCAGTTTAGTATTTTTTGTCATTTTAGTGATACAATACTCATCTATATTGATATCATTCCACAATTCCTTCATCAGTATTGTGTCAATGAACGAATAGTGCACTGATGTCACTGATGACCAGGACTAGGTGTTCTACATGGTTCTTTTTAGGACCCCAGCAGCAAGTCATTGAGGTGATGTTTTCAGTATTCCGAATTAATCTGGTCCAGCCAATAGATGGCAGAATCTGGAGGACAACATTACAACGTGACCAATCACCAATGGCCGACACTAATCTACACACCAATCAATAGAGCAACTTAGATGTAAGCGTTTCTTCTCTTTTTCATCCTTGCTTCCAATCAGTCCTGGTTTCAAATACTATTTCAGGTATTTCAATTACTTTCCAATACATTTCAAAATAAGTATTCAGATCATCTTTATTAGAAAAATCAAGTAGTTGAATATTGGAATGTATTTGAAAATACTCAAATACACTCCCATGAATAATGCATTTAACCCAGGTATTTGAAATATGTATCTGAAAATATTTTCAAATACAATTTGGTTGTCTATTTGGTTTTTACAAATAACCATTCAAATACTAAAATACAAATATTTGTTTTGGGCTGTATATTTGAAAATACTCAAATACACAGAAGAAGGCATTTAAATAACAAATACTCAAATGCAACATGTACTTGTATCCAGTTCAGCTTCCAATACAACTACTCAGAATGTAAAACTTTATTCTTACTTCCAATTCCGAGGGACTGCGCTCACAGTTGCCAGGGGAGACGTTTCCTGACCTTTGACCTGTGATGAAGTGGCGCATGCAGCTGATCTCCTCAGTCAGACGAGCCTGCAGTTCCTGAGACAATCATGAAGATGAAATAAAAATACTTATTACTATTGCACTGTGTGACAGTATGGTACATTGCTTAAATTGTTAATTAGAGAATGAATTAGATAATTCATTTGTTGTTAATTAGTCTCTCATGACAGACTCGGCTTGCTCTCTCTCTCTCTCTCTCTCTCTCTCTCTCTCTCTCTCTCTCTCTCTCTCTCTCTCTCTCTCTCTCTCTCTCCTTCTTCTCTCTGCACTCTGACCTGGTTCTCTCTGCGGAGCTGTTCCATCTCTCTGTCCTTCCGGCTCAGCTCTGTTTCTCTGTCTCCTCCGCTCTGCTCGGCCCGGTTCAGCTCCAGGCACTTCTGGGAATATCTCTCTGACAGAACGTCCAACTCACTGTGGAGGGCATCAGCCTGGGGTCTGTAGAGAACCAAGAAAACATGTGGGTATGCCCGTACGGATGCATGGATGCACAAGCACACTGATGCACAAGCACAGGGTGGATAGTTATCCCATTAGAGAAAACTTTCTCTTCACTTTTGGTGACTTTGATGTCTGGCTAAAGAGAATGGATCTCACGTCTGTCCTCTGTACGTAGTATCCATATGGCCACCCCCTCCAGCCATCCTCCTGGCCTTCTCCACCTCCCTCTCCAGCTCCTCCTTGTGAGCCTCCTTCAGGGCCTCAACCACTACAGAGCACAGGAGTGGCATAACATGACAAGGAAAAAAGAAAACGTTGAAGTGAAGAGGGGAAAGACAGGACACAGGAGGGTAGGTAATCTGTTCCACAAGAAAAGTTGCTTTGTGACATTGTCCCTAGAAAAAGTGTCATTATTCATATAACACTCAACATGATATTAAACACTATCCCCAACAGGTCTCTCCTTCCCACCTTGTGCCGTGGACTGGCTCTCCTCCTGCAGCAGTCTGTCTCTCTGTCTCTGCAGCTCTCCGACCTCCCTGGCATGGCTCTCCTGGAGCTCCATCAGGGCCCTGCGGTGGGTCGCCTCCATGGCCTCCAGACGCTGGCCACAGGGGGCCCAAGGGCCACACGGACTGTCCACCTCCATCCCCATCTCCACACGCTCCTTACGCAGACACTCCACCTGCTGCCTGAGTGATAGCGCCTGAGAGAGAGGGAGAGGAGGGGGAGAGGAGGGGGATAAAGAGTGGGATAGAGAGGGGAGGAAGATAGGGGAGCAATAGAAAGAAAGAGAGAGCGGAGAGCGGAGAGAGGAAGAGAGTGAGAGAAAATTGTGTGAAAGAGGGGACGAAAGTGGAAGAGTGAGACAGAAAGAGAGAGAGAGAGAGATGTGAGGAGGGTGAGGAAAGATTCCCTACATTATTCATTATGTATATTGAAAACATCCTCTCTGTTTCTATGATACCTTTACAAGACGATGCTAAACGTTATAATTATTACATGTTAAACGCTCAAATGAACAAATAACTGTTTTACATTTAGGATTTAGAGTGGAAAATAATTCTCACACTACCTCCCTCTGTAGGGCCGTTGCACTGGTCGTCTGATTGGGAATCGTCTGATTGGGAATCGTTTGATTGGTCTGATTAGTCTGTGCACCAATCAGAGACAGCGCGCTCATCTCCCTGAATGATAAACTCTCGAACTCCACCCACTTATTGTTGACGTCCGTGTCCATGGTGTGAGTGTCAGGTACAGGTACGCTGCCTTTCTTCAGCTCCAGAGAGTCCCATCTGTTGCCCATCTCTCTGAAGGGGATCCCTCCCTCAAACCATCTGTTCCTCTCCTCCAATCGCTTTGCTTGCTCTCTGTCCGAGCCCTCCCCTGCCTCTCTCTGACTGTCTGATGACATATTGGGCGAGGTGTCATTTAGATCCGGGGCCACAGAGTCCATTTGACGAGGGTTGGAGGTGGAGTTAGTGGTTCGAGGGTCGGAGTCTTCACAGGTGAGCATAGAGGGAGGCTGGCGAGACGACACAGGCCGAGAGTGACCGTTTTCTCTTTCACTGTCTGACCGTCTGTGATAGAAAAATGGGGACCATGGGAAAAGTGTTTCAGATATAGCTACATAGTCACATTTTTTACTCTTGTATATTATTACATTTGTCTAATTGTCTTCTTGTTGCCTCCAATTCCATTAATTATATCCTAAAGTAATTATGTGCATTTCTGTTGTGATCTTAGGCCACACCAGTCTAGGTTCAGGACTTTGTCTGCGTCTGAAATGGTACCCTATTCTACTCCCTGTAATGTGCATTACTTTGGACCAGGGCTAATAGGAGCTTTGATCCAAAGTAGTGCAGTACATAGGGAATAGGGTGCCATTTCAGACACAGACAAAGTCCTGCACTTAGACTGGTGTGGCCTAAGATCACAACAGAAATGCACATAATTACTTTACGACATAATTAATGGTATGCCATTTCAGACAGTGTGCCATTTCCAACACAGTGCCATTTCAGACACAGTGAATAGAAATACTAACGGTGTGATGTCTGGAGAGTGTCTGGGTTGGATAGTCTGTCTCAGCACATTAACCCAGTTCCTCCTGATCCTGGAGGTCGAGGCTGAAAGAGTGAACACTGCCTTCTTTGTCTGGTTGAGATCAAGAGATAAAGAACAGAGAAAAGCCACATCTGAGGGGTTACAAACAGGAAGGAACTAAAGCATACAGACACCAAGTCTGCATCCAAAATGACACCCTAATCGCTATATATTGCACTACTTTATGGGCCCTGGTCAAAAGTAGTGCACTATTTAAGGATGGACAAGGGTTGCAGCCCAAGACTAGTAGTAGTAGTGGTAGTAGTAGTAGTAGTAGTGGTAGTAAGTAGTAGCAACAGTAGTAGTAGTAGTAAGTAGTAGTCGTAGTAGCACAGTAGTATAAGTAGTAGTAAGTAGTAGTGTAGTATAGTGTAGTAGTAGTAGTACAACAGTGTGAGTACGTAGAGTATAGTAGTATAGTATAGATAGTAGTAGCGAGTGTCCAGTAGTAGTGTTAGTAGATAGTTGTGTAGTGAGTAGTGTAGTAAGAGAGCATTCGTAGTAGTAGTAGTAGAGTAGAAGTGTAGTGAGTTAGTAGTAAAAGTAGCCAGGGGAGTGAGCATAGTCGGTATGAGTAGTAGTATTAGAGCAGAAAGTAGTGATAGTAAGTTGAGAAAAGATAGTAGTAGTGGTAAGTGGTAGTGGTAGTAGTAGGTAGTAGATAGTAGGTAGTCATAGTGGTGATAGTAGTAGTAGTATTAGCAACAGTAGTAGTAGTAGTAGCAGTAGTAGTTGTAGAAACAGTAGTAGTAGTAGTAGCAGTAGATGAGTAGTGGTAGTGGTAGTAGTAGTGGTAGTGATAGTGGTAGTAGTAGTAGTAGTAGTACTAGTAGTAGCAGTAGTAGTAGTAGTAACAGCAGCAGTAGTAGTAGTAGTTGCAGTAGCAGCAGTAGCAGTAGTACTAGTGGTAGTAGTAGTAGTAGTGGTAGTAGTAGTAGCAACATGTTCGATGAGAGAAAAACCAGGAAGTACATACATGTATCTGGAATCCATAGTTCTTCTCCACGTCAAAGTCTTGGACGTTCACACAGGACGTCAGGTCTATCTCTCCATCCAGGTCATCTGACTACAACAGACATGGAGGAACTGGCGTGATACAGACAAAAAAAGACTTCTATGGATATAAATATAATTGGGGAACTAATATTGCATATATAGGAAATGGCGTCACCTCCTCAGCCTCAGAGTCCATGTAGAAACTCAGTGCAGCATCCCTCATCACAAACCAGTATCTCCTCCACTGTTAGAAACACAAGCCAAACAGACTCAGTCAAACCAGTGACACTTCAAAATATTCAAAACACTGCTATTGTTTTGAATGATGTTTTCCTCTAATTGTGCAAGTTTGTTATAACACATGGCCATGTGTGTCATTTGCAACGTTACCCCCCCATATTCATCCAGTTTTGACATCCAGCCCTTTTGGTCAGACTGTGTTTGGGTATTTTCAGGTAGAACTCTCTCCCGCGGTTTAGAAGATCTGAGGCCCTTTGCAGTTTGATTATTTGAATTCTGTAACAAATTGATTATATGAATAATAATTATATGATGGTACTTATGATACAGTATGAGTGACTGTTTTAAAGTACTCAAAGGTAACAAGCGTATTACCTGTGGCTGAAGCGCAGTTGTGGACTGGGTTCGGGACAGTCGTCCGTCCTCTGAGTCGCGATATTTCTCCCTCTCTTTCTCCCTCCTGTCTCTCCCCCTCTCTCTGCCCCTCCCCCTCTCATCAGACCCAACCCTCGTACTGTAGCTATCAGATTCCTCTGCATACCTAAAAGAAAGGAAGAGTTTGAGAAATAGAGACAATGAGAGAAAATCCTGACCCAATATGCTGTACATGCAGTAGGCCCTTACAATATGCTGTACATGCGGTAGGCCCTTACAATATGCTGTACATGCGGTAGGCCCTTACAATATGCTGTACATGCGGTAGGCCCTTACAATATGCTGTACATGCGGTAGGCCCTTACAATATGCTGTACATGCGGTAGGCCCTTACAATATGCTGTACATGCGGTAGGCCCTTACAATATGCTGTACATGCGGTAGGCCCTTACAATATGCTGTACATGCAGTAGGCCCTTACAATATGCTGTACATGCAGTAGGCCCTTACAATATGCTGTACATGCGGTAGACCCTTACAATATGCTGTACATGCGGTAGGCCCTTACAATATGCTGTACATGCGGTAGGCCCTTACAATATGCTGTACATGCGGAAGGCCCATACAATATGCTATACATGCGGTAGACCCTTACAATATGCTGTACATGCGGTAGGCCCTTACAATATGCTGTACATGCGGTAGGCCCTTACAATATGCTGTACATGCGGTAGGCCCTTACAATATGCTGTACATGCAGTAGGCCCTTACAATATGCTGTACATGCAGTAGGCCCTTACAATATGCTGTACATGCGGTAGGCCCTTACAATATGCTGTACATGCGGTAGGCCCTTACAATATGCTGTACATGCAGTAGGCCCTTACAATATGCTGTACATGCAGTAGGCCCTTACAATAGGCATAGTCATTTATCATACTTCCTCTGCCCTCCAAAACTTCCAGAAATCCCCTTCTTCTAATTATAACGCCACCACCATGATTGCTCATTTCCTCCCTGTCCTCTCTTCTCTCGCTTCTCTCTTTTCTCCCTCCTCCCTCTCTCTCTCTATAATGTCCCTCTTGTCTCCTCTCCAGTCTCCCCACTCACCTGGGTGTCCTGTGCCTCTGGTCTCTACGTGGGCTGGGGCTCTGGGTCCTCCTCCTCTGGCCCAGTACCACCTCTCCCCCCTCTCCCTCTGACCCCAGGTCCAGTCTGGGGATGTCAGCCAGAATGACGTAGTCCTCTATGGTCATCCCCTGGGAGTCCACTGAGGCGGTTCTCTTGGGCTCCTCTCGGGTCAACAGGTACTCCAGGCCCCGCTTTAGAGGACTCTTGCTCCTATCACTGATTGGCCTGTCATTCGTTTCCACGGTCGCAGCGTGGGGTTTCAACGAATTGGCAAGCAGCTGGGAGTCGATGCCTAGTCGTGGTGGGGAGGAGCTACAAGAGAGGGCAGAGCTTAGTAGGGAGTGGGAGGAGCCACACCAGGAGCCTTGAGGGGGGCTGGGGTTGGTTTTAGGGGGGTGCATCTCTGTCCGTTCCTCTCTAGCGACCCTCTCTGGTCTCCTTGAGTAGCTCTGTGTTGTGTCAGGTCTGGTGTCGCTATGCTTGGTTTCTCTTTGGGGTGAATGGCTGTGTGTACCATAGCCACTTCTAGGGGGAGAGCATTCACGACTATCACGACTGCGAGTGGTTGGAGAAGGGTTTTTATCTGTTCTGGGCCGGGGGCTTCGAGACCCTTCGTAGGAGTTTGGCTGCAAGGCTGAAGAGTCACATCGAGAGATGGAGTCAAGATTTTTGTAGAGTTTTTCAGAGTCCAAACTGTGACTGTTTGAGCTGTGGGAGGGACGTCTTGACCCTCTTGACTCCCTTGACCCTCTTGGCTCTCTTGACTCTCTTGACCCTCTTGACTCTCTTAGCTCTCTTGGCTCTCTTGACTCTCTTGACTCCCTTGACTCCCTTGACCCTCTTGACTCTCTTAGCTCTCTTGACTCTCTTGACTCCCTTGACTCTCTTGACTCTTGGTCATTCCCATTGGCGTAATGCTCTGTTTTACCATTACTTACAGGGGAGGAGTCAGTGTGTTTGTAGGAGGCCGTGTTTCGGGACGGGGAGGGGTGGCGAGACATGACAGACCCTCGTCTGTGAGAGGGACTGGACCGTCCTGACTGATGGCGAGACGAGGAGCGAGATGGAGCGTGAGACGGAGCGTGAGAAGGAGTGTGACTTTTGGAATGGGAGCTTCTACGTTGGGAGGACGCAGATCGAGAGTCAGCCAGTTTATACCAATTTGGGCATGGGGAGCGAGGGCTAGGAGACTGGTCTTGAGAATCAGTGCCACCACGTCTGAAGTTGGAATGATAGGTGTACCTCTGCGGAGACTCGCTCCTCCAGGTCTCCTGCTGGAACGTTTCATCGCTTCTCCTTTGGGATGGAATTCCGAGATTCACGTTCCGGTAGGGGATGGAGGCTTTGGGTTCTGGGCTGTGGTTGCTGGGGAGCGGATGGCCCCTCTCATAGTGCCGGTAAGGTCGTTTGGATACACCCTCCACCTGAGCCTGGGGACCACCGTCAAATAAGGCTTTCCTGTCTGGAGAGAAGTAGCCACTCTCTCCTCTTGATCCTGGGAGTGAGGAGTTGGGACATGGCATGGTAGATTGAGCTCAAATGGAAAGCAAAGACACATTTAAATGTTTAACTGAAAATGGACAATAAAATTTTGAATTGAAATTGAATTGAATGAAAATTGTAGCAGCAGTCACAGACAAAATGTCTGTCTGTAATACTGTGACCTGGTCAGACCTGAGGGTCGCCTGAAACTCTCCCGGCCTCTCTTCTCCTCCATCAGGGAGCTGTGTGGTGGTCTGTGGGGAGACGGGTCCACCCGGGTCATCTCTGGCCCGGTCACACAGCACCCTGCTGGGTTGCTAGAGCCACTCCTCCCTGGGTCTGGTAGGAAGTCCCACTGGTCCTCCTGACTGCTGGGTGGAGGTATAAAGGAAGGGCATGAGGGACATTGGTTAGGGTACACACTCTATGAGTTTGGCACAATGTACTGTAGAACTAGTTTATGAGAAATCACTACCTGATTGTAGAATTTCCTTCAAATATAATGTTTTATAACTGTTTATTAAAGTTTTATAAATCACTTTAACCTCTACGGGATCGGTGTCCCGTATACAGGACGGTTGAGCTAACGTGCGCTAATGTGATTAGCATGATTGTTGTAAGTAACAGCAAACTTTCCAGGACATAGACATGTCTTATATGGGCAGAAAGCTTAAATTATTGTTAATCTAACTGCACTGTCCAATTTACAGTAGCTATTACAGTGAAAAAATACCATGCTATTGTTTGATAGCAACAAAAACTTCACGGCAACTGGTTTGATATATTCACCTCTGAAGGTAAATAATGTACTTACATTTAGTTATCTTGCTCAGATTTGTCATCCTGAGGTCCCAGAGATAAAATGTAGCATAGTTTTGTTTGATAAAATCCATTTTTATATTCAAATGTAGGGCACTGGGTTCTACAGTTTGAAGCCTTGCTGTCTCTGGCTCCACACCCACCCCGCCCGGCCATCTAGATGTGTGAAAGTTAGTGTATAAGCTAATGAGCCATCATCTATGACATTCCTGGGAGTGTGTAAAACTTACATTTTGTATTACAAAAATGTATTACCATATCATTTTTGTATGTACTCTATAGTTATGTATTTGAAAATGTATCAATTGACCAATTCGGCACATTTGGGCAGACTTGATACAAAATAGTCCAGTATTGCAACGCTTCACTGGATCAATCTGAAACTTTACACACACACTGCTGCCATCTAGTGGCCAAAATCTAAATTGCGCCTAAACTGCAACATTATATTGTGGCCTTTACGTTTACATTTTTAGTCATTTAGCAGACACTCTTATCCAGAGCGACTTACAGTTAGTGAGTGCATACATTATTATTTTTTTTCATACTTTTTTAGCCTTTCTCTTGCATTTCAAAGATGATAAACAAATATTTTACCAGATCTAATGTGTTATATTCTCCTACATTAATTTCACATTTCCACAAACGTCAAAATGTTTCCTTTCAAATGGTATGAAGAATATGCATATCCTTGCGTCAGGTCCTGAGCTACAGGCAGTTAGATTTGGGTATGTCATTTTAGGCAAAAATTGAAAAAAAGGGTCCGATCCTTAAGAGGGTATTAAGTATACCTTAATGTAATGTTACCAAAGTCACCTGCCAATGACACTCACACTCACCTGTGTACCGTGTCAGAGTCACAGATATTGAGTTCCCAGTCAGGGCTAGGAGTGTGAGTTAGGCTCTCCTGATAGGTCCAGACGCTCCTGGTGACATCACTGTAGCTGGCCACCTCAGACAGGAAGTGATGGTTGTCCTGATTCATGGAACGAGACACATTTCGACCAATCGTTAATAATTCAGAGAATGTCAAACTGGTCAATGGCTTTGTCAATTCAGCAGGCCATCTGAAAATGTGTAAAAGTCACTTTTAAGGCTTGGTACACAAAGTATGTAATTCTGTTGTGTTTTCAGAAAGTTACATAGCAACACGTATGAAAATACAGTTGGAGGCAAATCAAACAAATTCAAACATGCTGCAGTGTTTACACTATAGATAGATACTTTATCTACAGGTATCTCTGTGGTAAGACAGTCATTACCTAGTGTGACCAATGACATTACAATGCTTAAAGATTCATTAAATGAATGAGTTGCAATCACTCTCTATGTCAATTCAACAAACATGTGAGAAAGCACCAACAAGTAAAGTAAACAAACTTAAGACAAAATGTCTGCCTGTGGCACAAATGAAAATAAGCAAACTTTCCGTATAACTCATCACATCTAAAACAAAATGCAAACTTCTTACTACACCTGCTTGCAGAGCTTCCTTGGACGTCCCTTTACAAATCTGCTGTTAAGACGTCAAGTGGCAACAGCAACTTCTCTTCTCCCCCTCTGTCCCCCCCCCCCCCCCCCTCTGTCTCCTCCCCCTCTCTCGCCTCCCCCATCTTCCTCTCCTCTCTTCACCTTATCTACCTGAGCTAATACATTAGGCCTGCGCGGACGACGGTAACACAACCTAGCCTCTCCCTGGCCTTGCTCATCATTATTTCATTGGTCTGTTGCTCTTCCACTACCAGAATGCACCCATCCACTTCTCAACCCTATATTGATCCCTCTTTCAGTTCTTGCCCTCCCTACAACGCACAAAAGTCACCTCTTTCTTTTCTTTTGACTTTTGATCTCTATGTTGTGTTGTGAGCAGGCACGTATTTCTATCTGGTATATTCTGTTATTTTGAAATGAAAGGATTATTCAAATGACAGTAAAATTAGTAGAAGTGTATTTCTGGTACAGGTCCATCCTTAGAGTTCAGTTAGGTGGGCTGGTGTTGTGTGTGTGGGTGCGTGTGTGTGCTTGTGTGTGTGTTGTGTGTGTACGTGTGCTTGTGTGTGTGTTCTGTGTGTGCTTGTGTGTGTGTGCTTGTGTGCAATGTGTTATGTGAGCAGATTAGATTACTATCTTTCCCCCAAGGGATGCAAATGAGCTTTTCATTAATTAATGATAGAATCATAATATAATGAAACGCCAACCTGTGTGTTTGTCAGTCCTCATTTCACCTACAGTATATCTTATGTTATAATTACCTCACTTGGTGGCTTTATTTGTGTTCATTGCATCATCATGTTGTTTAATATGTGCCTTTGTTTCTTTCAGAACTGGTTACTCCTCATACTGCCACTTGGGAAGATCAAATGAAAGATTTTGGAAGTGTTTCAAACGTATACCGCAACTTACTGTACAGCAAAGGTAATAATCCAGACGTTTTCCAAACCCAATTACACTTTAACAGTCATTAGCCGTCCATCGTCCATTTCCCTCAACACTAGCCCCTCCTACCTGGCACACCTGTGAGGTAGTGTTCACGTGCATGTGTCCCGGGCGTAGGCAGGAACCACAGCAGAAGGGGTCAAAGGTGTTGGGTTGGAACTGGTGGCAGTAATAGTTGTCAGCATAGAGAGGCATGATGGATCCTCAGATCAGGAGAGCACCCCTATTTTACTCTGATGGTACGGCCCAGTGCAATGATGCACTATTACAAAATCCACCTGCACAAAGATGGTGCATTCTGATTAGAGGTGGAATAACTAATCAAACCATATACTGTATAGATGGCTCATAGTAATGCAGTATGTCAAGAGCAACACTATACAGACATAGGAACTTAATTTGAGCCAGTTTGCTACAGCAGGAAAATAATCCTCCAGCAACAGGAAATGTGAATTATTATGTGAATTATAATTAATGAACATTTTGTAGGGGTTGATTCATTTTTCCTTAGGGCAAATGAAGTCTGACATTTAAAAGTGGAAATTACTAACTGATCAAATTAAGATCTTACATCTTTAGAATTGCATTCTGAAGTAGAATATGGGCCATATCAGTAATTTCATGCATTGACCTGTAGCGGTCTTTACACTGTAATGGAATTCAA